ATTTTGATTTTCCCTTGCTCCTACCTTTGAGTCTAAGAAGCCAGATAGAATAGCAATAGCACTTAGACTTATATAACGCTTCACAGTGCTTTACAGCCCTCTTTAAGCAGTTTACAGCATATTTCCCCAACAATGTGGGTCCTCATTTTACCTCATTCTCACCGGTTCAAGGTTGACTCAGCCTTCCATCTTTGGAAGGATGGAAGGCTGAGTCAACCTTGAACCGGTGAGAATCAAACCGCTGGCAGTTGGCAGAGTTAGCCTGCAATACTGCATTCTAACTCACTGCGCCACCATGGCTCTCAGAATACTGATTACTAGGGAAAGAATTGTACAATGAAACACAAGATTATGGCTGGACCTAAAGCAAACTTTGGAAGGGATCTCCAAGATCCCTTCCAGACCTATGATTCTATGTTCTAGAAGGATATGGGTGAATATTCTCAGAACAAATTTGCGGAGAAACTCTTTAACCCCAGACCTCCTGAACACGGTCTAATCTTGCTCCACCTCTGTTGACATAATGTTTCAAATTCAGAGTTAATATCCTGGTTCATTTAGCCTTAAAATACCTGAAACCACCCACTCCTCCAGCTCTCTGCCCTCTTTGCTAACATGCGGGCAAACACACACACAGCTCTAAGAATTTGTTTTGGTCAGGCTCACATTCCACATTAATCAGTGGTGAAACAGTAGCCTCTCTTCCAGCCACTTAAGGGGGTTAGCAAGGGAATTGAGAAAGTAGTTCAAATATTTAACTCAGTGACAATCTACAGCTGCTGGGAAGCAGAGAATCTGAGAGCCTCTAATCACAGCAAGCAATGGATGTGGAAGTATCTCATTAGCTCGGCTGGCAGGACTAGATTAAACTGACAGATGAGGGGCTGTTGAGGACAGTTGCAGACAGAAAGGGCATGAAACACCTAACAATGCAAGCTAGAAGACATTTGGGGGAAGCTACCTTCCATAACCCCCATCCCACTCCCACTAGAGATTATCCAGAAACGTGGCCAATGCTGCTTTCATCCCATTCCTACAACTGAATCCTGTCTGAAAAGGGTCCCAATAATCTGCTTCATTTAAATTCCCTATAACAATTATCTCTTGTTCTAGCTCTCATTGTCCAACGAGTTGGAACTATTCCAACAGCTGATGCTCCTCTGCCTCTTGTCAGCCTAATAATTGAAATAAATAATAGCTTAACAAGAAATGTGTTAAATTCCTTTAAAAAGAGACTGGATGAACATTTGTCTGAAATGCTGTAGGGTCTCCTACTTGAATTGGGGGCTGGACTGGAAGATCTCCAAGGTCCCTTCCCAACTCTGCTATTTTGTTATCTGTTATCCTCTGAAGCTACTGCCTGGCCATCTTCTCAATTACCTTCTCCCCCCACCCCAAAATAAGAGAGGTTAGATACTAGGTGAAAATTGTCCAGTATCGTTGATCCATACTGCCTTCTTAAGGGGTGGAAGAACAAGGAACTCACTCAAGGAAGAATTCATTGCCACTAGAATCCACCCACACAAGACAATTCCCAGCAGCTTTAGTTAGCCAGGAAAGGCATGGATCTAGAGATCAGGTGGCTGAGATCACAGTCCTAAGGACCATGTCTACATCCTCAGGCCCAAAAGTTTTAAATTATGCCCAGATAACCGGGCAAGATTCTATCTTGAGCATATCCCTAAGACTGCAAAAAGCCAGCCTCCAACTGAGAATGAATCTGGGCGACTTTATCTCTCATTCTCGCTTGAACAGGAATTTATCACTGGGAATCGCAGAGGATTCATCAGAAATTTTGATTATGTATGTATTTAATTCTCCTTTTTTCTTATTGTTATGTAAATGACTTAAATATGACTAATTCAATAATAAAGAGGAAGCATTCTATTTTAGGTACACACACACACACAAACACACACACACAAACACAGAGTATGACCTCAGCTAAAAGGACAAGAACTGATTCAGCTACTTCAAAATATTTCTGCTTAAGGCAGCTGCATCAAACACCGTTTCTCATGTCCTGCAACCACTCCAACATGACCCTACCTGAGCATTCTAGGTAAAAATCCACCTCTCTGAAAGTTTGGAATATAAAATTAAATCCTAAAACCTTAATTAGACTTGAAAGTCTGAAAGTGCTACAGGGCTGGATTCATTAACTAACTTTTTCCAAGTTTATGATTCTATTATTCAGCATCTCTGCTCAGGCATAAAACCAACTGTATTCTTAAAATGCAATCGGGGTCATTGTCCCCATCTCCTCTTTTCCTGGCAAAACCCTACCGTTTTGTTTGAAGGATATTTCAAAGAATTCTGCGAGCTGAAGTCCATAGATCTGTAGATTCCCAGTTCAGAAAACACTGTTGTAAACTACAGTGGAAATAGATCCTTTGCCATATCCAAGCGGACTTGAGTATCTGTTACATACTGTAACTGACTAATTCAATTCATACTATTTAATTGATCCCACAAATCATAACCGGACAACTCAATTGTATTCTATGAATAGGGCATTGTTAAATACAGGTAGTCCTTGACTTACAACAGTTTATTTAGTGACCCTTCAAAGTTTCGAGGATACTGAAAAAAGTGAGTGATGACCATTTTCATGCTTACGACCATTACAGTATTCCCCGGGGTCACATGATCAAAATTCGGATGCTGGGCAACTGCTTCATATTTATGATGGTCGCAGTATCCCATGGTCATGTGATCCCCAATAATGAGTTTAATTTCTCTAATATAAAGAAGAAAGAAAGAAAATGTTCCTGCAACCATAATATCTTAAAATATACATCCACATATGAACTCACCTTCGTGGCATTAATTTAATTTTTTTTAAAAAAAGGGGGGGGGACCATGAACTTTAACAACAATCATCGTGGGAAAACACTAATGTTTTTATTCCCCTGGGAAAAAAAACACAGTTACCCTCACTGGGTGCACAGAAATTTGAATTTCACCTTAAAATACAGGTACATATATAAATAGTATATTGTAAAAAAAACACAATGTGATTTATAAATTTTATAGGCATATTATCAACATATGGGACTTGGATAGAGATGGTTACAATGACAGCAGCAGAAGATGATTTAGAAGGCTTTAGGAAAGTTAAAACGATTTATAAAACAGTGCTTATCAATAATCAACACATCAAAAGGGGAAGCAATGGATCCATGGATTCAAGACACGCTTTGAGAATTTCAAGAGACCGTGCAACGATTCCTAGATCCACACAAGTCCTGACGCTCTGAAGCAGGCACATATGGAAATCTTGTGCAGATGAAGTTTTCCCATTGATTCTAATGGTGGGACCTTTGATCATATGCTACTATTGGCATGTCCACAAACTGTCCCTCCATCAAAATGGAGACATCTTTAGAGAACGAACTCTTCCCTTCATACCGAGCCCATGAAATCCGTGATCTTCCAGGGAGCAAGCTTTCCCGCATTTCTGCTCCTACACCGTATTCAGAATATGCAGATAACTTATCAGCTCTATGTTTACAAATGAAACTGATGCAGATTGATATATTCAGACATGAAGATGGATGATCCTGGGTAAATGTTACAACTGTCCCAAATGAAGGACACATTAGTGAACGTTAAGTTACAGGATCCAATCTGGATCAGTCATTGATACCAGAGGTGTAGTCTTCCGAGCTTTGGGGCTTGTGCTGGAGCCCTCAGTTCCCTTAGGGAAATTCTCTCTACCAGAACGTACCAGAAAATCTCTTGAAGACGGGCTCCAGCATAAATACATTCTGACAGAGAAAAGGTCCATGAAGATGGGTTTCAGCACCAAGTCCGAAAGCTTGGAAGATTAAACCACTGGTCTCAGTGATCCTGGATCACTGGATCCTGCAACATGATCCTCGGACACATAAATTTGCCTTCAGTCATAATGTTAAGTTAGCATCTCAACATTCATTCCCTCCTAGGTAAATGCCAAAGTTCTTTTGGCAACACATTTTTTTGCTGTGTATTCAGAAAATAGACAAAATATTTTCTGAAAAACAACCAACATGGGGAGGGGAGGGAGGATAAAAAAAAACTGGCCTCTTGCTCAAATTGCAACCTGAAAAATGAAGAGGATTGGTTCAAAAACCTGATGCGAGGCCTCACACACGCCACGTAGTTACTGAGGAGAGGTATGAAAGTAAACAAGTCACACCAGTACCTGAAACCTTAATCGAATCAAGACATGAGAAAGTGTATAATATTCATACATTAACGATGGTCCTATATTTTAATATATAGAGAGATATATGTATATATTTATATATGTATGTAGGTCTTTGGTTATTCGGGTTTTCTCCCGCGTCAAATTGGAAGTGTCTTAGCGACGTTTCAACGAAGTCTCATTCGTCATCTTCAGGCTGGTGTTTTCGGCTTCGTGCTTCTAGGAGTAATGTTTGCTCCTAGAAGCATGAAGCCGAAAACACCAGCCCGAAGATGATGAATGAGACTTCGTCGAAACATCGCCAAGACACTTCCAATTTGACGCGGGAGAAAACCCGAATAACCAAAGACCTACATACAAACACCCGCGAAAACCTCAGAAAACATTATATATGTGTATATATATATATATATATATATATAGCATTGTGTGTATAAAAAGGCTTGTGGATGAGTCCTCGGTGAAGAATTTTGAGACATTTCCGTAAATGGTTCCATCGAGAGCAGGAGAGAACTGAACAGAGATTGTAGGGTTAAAGAAATTGTTGCTGCATCTTTGCCAATTTTCATTGTACAATAGGAGAAAAAAAAAAGAAGTCCCTCTCCCCAAAGTCTTCAATGTCTACCTCTACATACAATAACTTACAAGTTTATTTATTTAAATAATTGTAAAACATCTTACATTTTTTTTCATTTGAAAAGAGATTAAACTATAAGTCAATACACACATACGTCCACATTCCATCACTCATATCAGCATATCCGGTTTCATAGCAAAGTCCGCTCATGCTGGTACCCTGTTTTGAGATTTCTTTTTTTTTTCTGCATAAACTAAATTGGTATCTGAAAAGCTCCATAGAAAATAGAAACTTCGACTTTTTTTTTCCTACAAAGTAAAACAAAGAGTATCCAAAATATCAAGCTTGAATGGTTGGCCAACCTGTTCCTTCTTTTAATATTCTATAAACATTAGGAAGGCTTTGAGTCCACAGGGAAACAAAACAAAACAAAAACACAAAAAAGCTTGTGCTCCAGATTCAATCCCATAACCTGCATACTTCTGGATCTTGGCCAATTCCTTTTTTTTTTTTTAAATGTTCTTGAGTATTGATGTCTCCAACTTGGAACAGTCTCTTAGCAACGCTATAAAATTTCCATTCCTTCTGGCACACAGCTTCCCCCATCAACTCAGCTTCTAGTGCTTCATTATTATTATTTTTTTAAGTTCCGTAACAAATAAGTAGTTTTGTGCTGTAGAAAAAAAAGGGGGGTGGAGCAGGAAGAAACCCCAGCAATGCCTTCTCTTCTTTCACATTGGAGGTACAACAAGACCAGTCATGGCTGGAAAACAAACAAACAGACAGACAATATTTACATTTTCAAAACAGAAACTTGCAGAAATAATGCAGATCCTAGGTGTCGGCAAAGGGGGCGGGGCGGGGGAGGAGTTTCAGAAAGGATGGCAGCCAGAACCATACGTTCGAAGTCCCGCCTTTTTATAAGCATGCATCATAAAGAGAGGCGGAGCTTCAATGGCATAGTCCTGCCTATGGAACTGACTTATTTATTTATTAAATTGATAGGTCATCCATCTCATTCTCAAAGGGACTCTGGCCAGTTTACAATTTATTTATTTATTTATTTATGAGACTTATATACCGCTTTAAGTGCAAGCACTCTCTAAGCGGTGTACACCAGTAAGCAATGTATATATATATATTTACATTGCCCCCAACAATCTGGGTCCTCATTTTACCTACCCCGGAAGGATGGAAGGCTGAGTCAACCTTGAGCCGGTGAGATTTGAACCGCTGACCTGCTGAACACAGTCAGCTAAAGTGGCCTGCAGTACTGCACTCTAACTGCTGCGCCACAATAGAATAAAAGCAAAAATGTAAAACCATTAAAAACAAAAGCATCAGAAGCAACAGGGATGAATAAAACAAAGGATCAAGGACACAAGCAGATGAAGACATATTGACCATCAGTCATTTGTACCTGTTCCTTAACAGGTCATTCCTTTAAATGTTCAAAAAAATTTCACTAGTCCAGAATGTTTTAGCCAAGATGGTGATTAAGAACACGCTAATTGGAACCTACATTTTTCATTTTATTTATGTATTTAAAAGATTTTCTATGGCCACCCATCTTAAGCATCTCTGGGTGGCTGATGGTAACGTTTCAATGATAACGTAAAATTTAAATGCGTATCTACGCGAATGTAAACCTCCATTCAAATTCTCTGAAAGAAGCTAGCAAAGCACGTATATCTGATTTGCAGCCGTCCACTCTACAGCTGTTCTTTTATGAATGCAGGGGAAAAACAAACACATCCACGCACCTTCCTTATAATTCCTAATATATTTCGACACTGATTTTCCTATCATTCCAATGCTAAAAAAGTTCTCACGTACTTTTCACCCAGGGATCCTTCAATGTACCCCTTCTTCCTTAAATTTTACGTCTAGCTTTCAAAGATTTCAACAGCCTCTAATGTTTACAATGCAATCCTATATTTGTCTACTCAAAAGGAAACCCAGTGGAACTTGGGGGGGACTTACTCCCAATTAAGTAAACAAATATAAGATTGCACTATTTCCCATTCTGACATGGGAAATAAGAGCTATTCCATCCTTTTTGTTATATTCTGTCTTAAGTTATGGATAACTTGGATGCTAAATACTAAATGAAACATTAGCCTTCTTCAGACATTTGTTTTTTAAATGGACATGCTGGCAGACAAATGGTTTTTTTGTTCTCTGCCCAGCCCTTCATCCCTTTTATTAGTGTTTGGTAATCATAGTAGGAGATTAGTAATTAATAGTCATCCTGTTTTGGGAGGCTTCTCAAATTTATAATGCAATCATATAAAATCTGTGTGTGCATGAAGAGGAGGAAGAGGAAGGGAAGTCCACAAAATACAACCCCCCCCCCCAAAAAAAAACAGTAACAAAAATGCCCAAAAGAAAATAAACTGAAAAGGAGACAGCTAGGGAAACAGCTTTGGAACTGAAAATCTGAATTTCAGGTTTGTAACACTAGTTGCCCAGAATGAAATTGAATCTCTCCAGAACATAAGCAATATTGGGTCTCAGGAGAAATGGTATTTTCTATTTATTTATATCCCACCTGCATTATTAAACAAATAACTCAAGGTGGCAAACATGTCAAAAACACCTTTTCTCCTCCTATTTTTCTCCTCAACAACACCCCTGTGAGGTGGCTTGGGCTGAGAGAAAACAGCTGGCCCAGCTGGCTTTCATGGCTAAGGCAGGACTTGAACTCCTGGTCTCCTACTTTCTAGCCTGGAGCTTAATCACTAGATCAAACTGGCTTTCCAAACAAAACAGGTCCTCTTTTCTCAGCTTTAACTTTGTTCAGTCCGAAGGGGCCTTCTAATATTCTCAAATTGCTGGGCAGGAAAATTGGCAAAATGATTGTTTTTTTGTTTTTTTTAGACTTCCTCCATGAAAAAAACTTAAGGGGGATTTCCTCCGATGGCATGAGAAGCGATAAGAAAATAAATGTCCATCAAGGAGGAGTGGGTGATTAAGACCAGGAAGGATAGCAATTGCTTTGGGCCAGCTCAGTGCCTGCTTTGCTGCCATCAATTCCTTTCTAACCGACGGCTTCTTCAATTGTAAAATAATTGAAGGAATATTAATTGATTTCTAAAATGTCAAAATCTTTCCTGGAATAGAAGAAGGTGGATTTCTGTAGCTTGGCTTTTGTTCTCCGAGGCTGCTTCCTCCCACCCATCCACCTCCTTGGGGGCTCTGCTGTCAAAAGCCTATTTCCCAGCCTGCACTACTTTTTATTGAATGTTTGTGAGCTTCGGATTAAGGTCTTACACCAAACGCAAAGCTGTAATTATTTTTGCCTGTATTACTATATATTGAATCGATGTAACTTTTCAATAAAGGTGGTTCAATGCAGGACAAGGCATTCGGTGATGAGTGGGGAATATAGGAACTGCCGGGGTGATTATCCCACAGGGATCCTCTACTCTCTCTCTCTCTCTCCTTTATTTTACTTTATTGGAGAGAAATGGAAGAAAGAATTGGAGGTGAGCTGCATTGTATTAACCTCCAAAGGCAGCCATTATCAGATGAAAGGCTTGATTAAACTTGTCAAAAATCAGCCAAAAGCTAAGGTGACTTGCGCATCTTAGGCATGTGTCCTTAATAATGCTAATAAACATGCCTCCGAGAAAAGAAATCTTGTTTCTTTCCTTTTTTAAAAACAAAAACAAAAATTGGAGCAGAACTGTCCTTAAAGATGCAGCTAAATGAAGGAATGGAAGGAGCGATCAGAATGTTAAAATAGTGCATTTCTGAGGGTGGGAAAAAGCTGCCACCATGTTCAAAGTTGGCTTTGTTGAAGAACTGCTTGTCTCTATCCCACAACAAGATCTTCAGCAGATTTCTATGAGATGCTCCCAGGGTTGAGTTGCCACAATTTAATGAGGTAGCATGGCTCCAGAAGCTTAAAATGATGGTTTTAGATCTCTTGAAGCATAGAGACAATATGTAGCAGACAGGATGTTTTAGCACCCGTGGATCCTTGTTAGTTGCCTGAAGGCAAGAAGCTGCTATTGGGCTCCAGGTCTTTCAGATTATGGTCTACCACCAAATAATTACTACAAAACCAAAATAAGATATTAAATAAATGTCTTTGTAACTTGCTAATGAATATGCTTCCATGTTCACAGTTCTTTTGCACACCCTCCATATTTCTTTCTGCAGTGCAGATTGCATTTGTGAAATGTGACATTCCTATGAGAACATTAATTGTTTCATTCAGGGCATGCCCTCAAATTCCTAGGCGTTTCCCCCATCTTTCTGAATGTTCAGACAAACGCCAAACAGCCTTATATAAAATTCATCGCAGGGAAAGGCATTGGGTAGCAATGGACTTCAGTTTATTTTTCCATCATGAACCAACAGGGCCATGTGAGTTTTTAATATATAGATTTGGTAACTGTCAACTTTTATTGCTGTAACAGGTTGGAAGTATTTAGTGCTTGGATGGAAAACTACAAGCAAATTCCAGAATTACGGACTGGACTTGGAAATTTGGGGGGAAGGCAGAGAGACAGAAAGCAACGACAAGTTCCTTGCGTACTGTTTCGAAGACTATATATACAGGCCTCATTACGCAATCATTAGGAGTCCAGTTTGATTTGAGGACGTTTTTATTTATGGCATTCCTTGATCTCTCTCTGGCTGATTTCTTTCAATATATTGGACATTCACTAGGGCAAACTCGCTGTTCCAGAGGCGATCAAATTTTTCAAGAGCTGAACTCAGTAATGAAAACAGGAGAGAGATGAGTGCAAGCCCTTTCAAAAATCAGGCATACTTATTTAAAAAGAAGAAAATGCAATGGCGTGTAACACTTCCTCTTTTCATTAGCTGCTTCTGACACGGCCTCTGAGGGATACTCCAGTAACTTGTTGGAAAAGGGAAAGAAAAATAGCTTTGGTTTGGTAACAAGATACATGATCGCTTTGGACATGCATTGCTCAAGTTCTATCAGCTTTGAAATTTCTTTCATTACTAAAACCATCACGTCTTGAATGTTTTTTTTTTTTTTCCCTCTTGGTAAAAGCCTTGTATTGAGATTGCTATAAAATGTACTTCGGGAAGCGCTGTAGAATTCCAGAGTGCTGGGTTTTGTTTTGTTTTTCAATATTTGGTACATCTTCTGTCTAAATGTCCTAGCCCAATGCAGAGAAACTGAAGTATGCTGGCCTTGTTTTGTGTCCATTTCACAACATCAGGCTATGCATAGTTCAGTTTGCTGGACACATGGGGTTGGGTCAGTGTTCACTTTATGCTTATGGGGCACCTAGGGATGAACTATGACTGGTGCAAGGGCATAGCTTTCCTGCAATAGTGATGTGTGTGGGAATATTGGTTTGGGACTTAAAGAAAACTAACAGTGCCCAAAACTGGTGGAGGAGCAAGGGGGCAATCTGTGTGCCACAATATCACAATGCAAATTCAACCCCTTTTTTCTATGCTTGACATGCTGCACACAGGCACATAAAGGGAAATGCTTATGTGGCAACCTCAGGGGTTCAGATGCCTTGTCATTTTAACAAAACTTCAAGATTCAATGGATGCCTATGAAGGCAAGTAGAAAGCAGATTGGGAGTAGATCTAGCTGGCAGTGGATACAGGATTGCTTTGCAGAAGGGCTTTTGAAGCTTACTTTTTAATTAAAAGGGTCCACCTTTTAAAATTACTGTAGGGTGCTTTACTGAAAAGAAATTAGAAAAAAAAATGCAGAAATTGATCTCTCTTTCCCTTTGTGTGTATGTGTGTGTGTGAGAGAGAGAGATAAAGAACATAGATAGATAGATAGATAGATAGATAGATAGATAGATAGATAGATAGATAGATAGATAGATAGACAGACAGACAGACAGACAGACAGACAGACAGACAGACATAGATAGAGGGGGGGGAGGGAGAGAGAGAGATCATCAATTGTTTTGCTATTGGGCAGGGGAATAAACAATGTTCTGCTCCCATTATTTAATCTACTCATATATTTGCATTGTTAGGAAGGAAGGAAGGAAGGAAGGAAGGAAGGAAGGAAGGAAGGAAGGAAGGAAGGAAGGAAAAGAAAGAAAGAAAGAAAGAAAGAAAGAAAGAAAGAAAGAAAGAAAGAAAGAAAGAAAGAAAAAAAGAAAACTGAATATAGCAACCTGACCTGGGATTTCTCCAGCCCATGCCTCATCATGTATCAGAATCCAGCCAGAAAAATGCCTCTTGTCAGTTTCAACTCCCTTGGACTCCTGGCAGAGGTGAAACTGACAAGGAGCTTCTCCAGATTGTGCCTCCAGGCTTTTCATCAGCTTTCACCTCCTGCTGCATCCCACAAGGTAGGAGCACTCAGGCTCCAAGTAATTTTATTGGGAGATGCATAGCCAGATGTGATCCCTTTGCCAGCTACATGCCTGCAGATAAAGGCAAGGGTTTCTTTGCTTTTTCAGCTGCCAATTCAAGCTACGGAGGTAGCAGGGGAGTAAATTAATCTCCCCCCTCCTAGGAAGCACCTTGGAACCAAGCTAGCAAGTAATTATAATATTACAGGCTAAAAGGAATTGCATTCCTCTGTTACAAAATGAATGGATTTTACCAAGAAACAGATTGCAGCACTTTAAACCACAAACTGAGAACTTGGGTAAACAATCTTATTTTGTTATTTGGGACAAAAAGCTTAGATTAATATCTCACTTTTTTCAAACTGTTTTCCCCACTATGAAATATTTTGAATGTGTCACTCTAATAAATACAATTTTATTTAAATGTGTGGATTGTAATGTTCATAGTCATTCTGGTTTACAATGTAAACATTTGCATATTACCCCAGCAATCTGGCTCCTCATTTGACCGATCTCGGAAGGATGAGAGCCAGAGTTAACCTTGAGCCCATCAGGATCAAACTCTAAGCTGTGGGCAGAGCTTGCCTGCAATACTGCACTTTATCTCTGGGAGTCTTATCTATATATATATATATATATATATATATATATATATATATATATATATATATATATATATATATATATATATATACATACATATCAGAAAAGAATGAATTTTCCTGCCATCCACTGTCTTACTAAGATCTGGACTGATCTGCCAATCTGCTCTTATCAACAGATCTCTGTTTTGAGTTTCTGTTCTCTTCTGTCTCCGTTTTGAACTTTAACATATATAATCATCATTAACAATAATACAGTACACAATTCTGCGACAAGCAATCTTTCATAGCCCTGCTAGGTGGCAGCACCTAGCTGACCTTAGTTAAGTATGGCTGGATTTGTTACTCCTTGGCTGCATTACCACCAGGAAATTCCAGAGTTGTAATCTAGAATGGGAAGTTGAAGAACAAACAAACAGAAGAAGACAATCACAAATAGTTCCATATTACTACCAAGAAAACTACATGGACATACAGGTAATGTTCAACTTATGACCGCAACTGAGCTCAAACTTTCCGTTGCTAAGCAATACAGTGGTTAAGAGAGTTTTGTCCCATTTTTATGATCTATCCTAAGTGAATAATCATAGTTGTTAAGTTAGTAGCACGGTTATTAAGTCAATCTGGCTTCCCCTGTTGACTTTGCTTGTCAGGAGGGCACAAAGTGTGATCACATGACCCCGGGACACCGCAACTGTCACAAATACATGCCAGTTGCCAACTGTCTGAACTTGATCACATGACCATGGGGATGCTGCATTAGTTGTAAGTGTGAAAAACATTCATGTCATTTTTTTCAGTGCCGTTGTAGCGTCAAACGGTCCCTAAACAAATGGTTATAAGTTGAGGACTACCTGTATTCATGAAATTATTAGGAGCTGAGCATGTAATGGAGACGTTCATCTTAGTTAACCCAAGTGTCTACATGTACTCTTATACAATAATTTGATCCCCTCTCTCCATATCATAAGATTTCCATGATCTCACAAGCATCTTGTAGATCTCATGATCTTTTATCAATGTTAAAAAAATGAACTTACAATTTTTCAACTTTAGTTTTGGGTGGGTATGGGCTGTTTTATATGGATCTTTATCATAGGTTGATATGGAACAGTCCTGAACAAGCTCAGTATGATAAGAAATTAGAGTGAACTATTTACAAAATGACAGTCCTGTTTCTCTCTCTGGCAATTCCCTTGAATGGAGAATTTAGGGAGAGAGAGAAAGCAAGATCAGTTTTACATGTCCATTACCTGTTGATTTGCTTCCTTCTGAATGTCTAAACCAGTGTTTCTCAACTTGACCCAAAGGTGCTTTTTCATGAGGCAACTGGACTTCTCTTTGAAGACGTTTTGCTTCTCATCCAAGATGTTTCTTCAGCTCTTCAGCTTGGAGCTGAAGAAGCTTCTTGGATGAGAACTGAATGTCTTCAAAGAGTAAAAGAAAAGTCCAGTTGCCTCATGAAAAAGCATCTTTGGGATCACCGTGACCTGGATGACTGAGAATCTCCATAGACACTTGGCAACTTGAAGATGTGTGAACTTCAAGCTCAGTGGGGATTCTTGGAGTTGAAGTCCACACATCTTCAAGTTGTCAAGGTTGAGAAACACTGGTCTAGATCATGGGTCTTCAAACTTGGCTCTTTTATGACTTGTGGACTTCAACGCCCAGAATTCCTTAGCCAGGCATGCTGGCTAAGGAATTCTGGAAGTTGAAGTCCACAAGTCATAAAAGGGCCAAGTTTGAAGACCTTTGGTCCAGATCACCAAGAGGCTATCAGGTTTGGTGGACCCTTGTTTTGAACTGGACTTCCCTCAGTTATACCCAAGTTGGCTTAATTCTATGGTTCTATGGTTCAGCCCTGTCCACTGCAAGCCCAACAAAACAGATGATTAAAAATTTAATTCAGACTTCAGATTAGTGTCTCAATTTCAACAGAAATAGTTACTAATACTATTTTTAAAGTATACACCCCCACATCTAAAATGAAACTTAGATTCATACCTGATATTTAAATTGGTTACTGAATTAATACATTTTCTAGTTTTGCATATACACTGAGATATAAATTAACCAACAGCAGAATTTATCCAAGATAAAACATTAATGAACATTAACTGACTGTGTATTTGCTCTGCAAAAGACCTGATCAAGCATGCCACAGAAAACCAACAATTGATCTCCCTTCTATCCTGCAATTTAAAGTGATCCAATTTATTTTACAACTTCAGAATTGTGGGCCTTGTACTGCCCAGAAAGTATGGAATAAATTAAACATCGCTTGTGCTCCTGTTCATTCTCTTGTGCTCTGTTCTATGCAAATCTATAACGCTGTTTCGATGTAGAAAGTTCTATTAAAATGTGTAGAACCAGTTTGATCCAAACTGTCAATCTGGTTCGGGGCATCTAGTTCAAAAAAAGACAGATTTAGATGGCCAGTCCAACTTGGAAAGCTGGTTTGTTTCTGAAATTTCAACTAACAAGTGAATAGAAGCACAGCAAAGCTGGGTAGGACCCATCATGGTCACCTCCTCTCTTGACCCAGGAAAAGGATTTCTTATAGCAAGAGAAGTAACAACAGCAATCAGAGAAGAGGCATCAGAAGCCGTAGGGATGTTTTTCCTGTTTAGATGCAAAAATAGCCACATTTGCACGGCTCCAGCCATTTCCAATTTGCTGCTCTCCATCTGGGCTGAGGTGATTAGACACCGGAGTACTCATCGCTTCGCTTTGCCTCACGTCACATTACATCTTGTCCACACTACTTTTAAGCAGGCTCAACGTCCAACATAAAATCAATGCCAGGCTTCTCCGATCAGGCCACCTGAAATCAATTTGGGGTTGCTGACAAAGACGAGGCCCTACTGTTCCTACCTACCTCGCCTGGCTGCAGAGCGAAAAAGCAGAGCAGATGGCATGCAGGAAGTAAAAAGCAGGACCACATGGTCCTAGAGAGGTTATCTAAGGGTATTCCCATGTCTTTCCCAACACCACTCAAGGAGCCAAGTTTCAAGTGGGTTCCTCCCATCAAGCAGCACGTTCTTCATTAAGGATTGGTGATAAAAGCATGCAAAAATACTATGCAGAACAGGTGAAAATCCAGACTGGTTTATCTAGTCCAACATCCTCTTCACACATTGGTTAGTTAGGAGGTGTCTCTAGGAAGCTAGCAAAGAAGTCTTGAATGCGGATGACCTTTCATGCTGTTGTCTTCTCTTGTCTCTCCAGAAAGTATATTAAATGACATGCAACTACTATCAGTTTTTACATATTAGCAGGGCTAAGCAATGAAATCGTTGACCTTGATTGATTCTTAGAATGCAGCTGCTTTGGCCACAGCTCTGGCCCTTGCAATGGTTTTCTGCACATCACCCTCTGATGCATCCCTCTGAAGGGAAGCTTTGCCCTTGGACACAGCAATAAATCATTGACAGCCTGGCACTTTATCCTTAGCTCAACGTCTTGACTTGACTTGGCAGAAGAATCATTGAAGGCTTAGCTGGGTTAGGGTCTTTATTGTAGGCAAGAAAGAAGCTGCTCTGACAGTAGTTGACTGCCAGACAAAGATGCCAGGAACTGTTATATATCCACAAGGGTTTAAACTGGAAGCTTCTTTCTCTGGTATTTCTGAACTAATCATATTTGGTGAGGTGCTAGGTAGTCTAGCCTTGAAGGCAAGCAACTGTGGCAGGTTGACAGAAGAGCATCTCTAGCTTGGGAACTGCTGGATGTTGTTTTGCCAGGCTCAATCTGTACAGTGAGCACTGAGGCACATCAGGTCACCTCTGAGCTTTGAAACAAAGCTCCAAGGCATATATTATCCAATTGGCAGAGGTCTGATCTTTGGAAATGCCCACAGACTTTTGTCAATGGACTGCTTTGTGTTCTGTTGACTGAAATAGGGGAGGCAGGGAAAAAAATAATCAATATGGTACTGCTGGAGAATACAAGGAGAGAAGCAACCTAGAACTAAGGAGAAACTTCCTAACAGTGAGAACAATTAATCAGTGGAACAACCTGCCTCCAGAAGCAGTAAATGCTCCAACACTGGAAGTTTTTAAGAAGAGACTGGACAGCCATTTGTCTGAAATGGTGTAGAGTTTCTTGCCTGAGCAGGGGGTTGGACTAGATGACCTCCAAGGTCCCTTCCAACTTTACTACTATTACTATTACAATTTATAGCATGTCACACAACATACCCCTCTGTTTCCCTGCCTCCCTTCCATGTTTTTGACTGTTTGAATGGGGGGGGAGGGGGACGTAGGAGAAGGAAGGGCAGGAAAGGCACAGCATAATTAAAATCTTTCTTCCGATTTCTAAAAATGGGTGTTCTTCCACCAAAGACTTCTATTTTTCTACCTTATTTTTCAGGGGCTTGAGAATTTCTTTCAAATTTCTTTTGGGGGAGTGTTTTTAAAATTTTCCTTTGTGGTTGGAGGCCCTGGAGCAGTGGTTCTCAACCTTTTTAATGCCGCGACCCCCAACCAGTCGTAAGTCGAGGACTACTCAACCGGTCGTAAGTTGAGGACTACTCAACTGGTGCAGCACCGTTTGCAGAATGGGACTTTTGGCGGGCTCAGCAGGGCAGAGACAGCCTGGACAATTCCTATTGGCTTTTGAAAGCCAATAGAATTAGACTCTATTCAAGAGAGTCTATTCTATTGGCTTTCAAAAGCCAATAGAATAAAAGGGAGTAGCACAGCTAAGGAAAAGGGGGAAAAAATGGCGGACTGCGTTGTTTGGCGACCCCCGTGAAATGGTCGTTCGACTCCAAATGGGGTCCCGACCCACAGATTGAGAACCACTGCCGTAGAGGATCTGATGCTGATTCTGTTTCACATTTTTCTCAACCTTTGTTTCCCCATGCTTGCCAGTTTGAGAAACAATTTTTTACAGGATGCTTTTCTTTGAAAACTGAATTAAAATATGAGAAGTCAGATGGCAGAAGAGAGAGAGGACACTGCCATGAAATACAGTGTACTCACATATATTCTCTGTCCCCCCAAAACAATTCCAGACTATATTCATGAGAGATCACATTGCACTTTTGTTAAAATATTTTTTTATCCTTCCTTTACTGCTTTTTAAATAATTTAAGGTCCAAGCATACCTAATACTCCTTCATCCTCCTATTTTCCACACAAGATCTCTATGCGATAAATTGGGCTGAGAGAACGCAACTTGCTTAAAGTCACCTAACCAGGTTCCATGCCTAAGGTTAAACTAGAACTCTCAGTCTCCTGGTGATTGGGCCAAAGTCACCCAGTCAACTTTCATGCCTAAGGTGGGACTAGAACTCACAATTTTTTAGCCTAGTGCCTTAACCACTCAACCAGTAGGCCAACATTTGTCTTAGGTTTCTAAATCAAATCCCCTTTTATCAAACTGGATGAGAACAGAGAGGAAAATTAAAGATGTGATCATTTTTATGAATGAATGAATGAATGAATGAGATAAATAGAAAAAAAGGGAAAGACTTGACTGGTGATTTAAATGCAGATGGAAGTGTTGTATTTCTGCACCCACTCATAAAGTTACTTATGCATCAAATTTAGATTATCTATAACAGCATTTTTTTATTCCCATCCATTTTATGTAATGACCTTCTGAAATAATATATGACATAGCTTTTTTTTAAAAATAAAAACAGAGATTAACATTTTCTCAGCTGAAAGTGCTATTATATTGTCTGGTGCCATGTTCTGGGAGTTCAAATTAGTTTGATCATTTATTCATTCATTTGTATTAAATCATTACTTTGGAACAGCCCAATACTTAAGAAAATCCCTAAGAGAAAGTGTTCAGAAAGAATTGGGGATGGATGGCATGGTGGGAGTCTTCATTGCAGTTGCTGATTATTTTTATTTTATACTTTATTATTTGCAAGTGATTCAGAGCCTTTGGGGGGTGGATTAAGAAGCATATACTGTAGGGAAACAATAATGAAATGAAATGAAATCATTGTTGCACTCACAAATTTCAGACAGTTTTGATCTGAGATTTTGCAAGACATCAGAAGACTGGAATTCACAAAAGGTCTTGTTATTACAGCAGCTCTTGCAAGCTGACATCTCATGAATAATTACCATAATTTTTTATACCACTCACAATGGAGAAATAGTTGGCAAAGATGAGGAACTAGTGGAGATGGCTAAATTAATTTATTTGATTAGAAAAAAAAAACAGTATTTACATTTATCATTGACCAGAAACTCTCTTTTTTGCATAAAACAGAACAAAATGCATTTACAATGTCTGATTTTTTTTTATTTTTTTTTTTTTTTTTGTAATCACAGTAAGAGATAAAATTTGTAATTGTATTTATATTTGCTGCAAAGGAGATTTGAAGTTTCGTTCTTCTCTTTCTCTTTACTTTTCTTTGTGGACTTTAATTTTTTTTTCTTCCTTTTCTGCTTTTACTCTTTTATTCTTTTTTGTTAGTTAGGATCGGACTTTCTGTGTAATCAAAGACTGTGGGAAAACCTAAGAAGGATAATGGGATAGGTGAGGATTATATGGGTACAATTCTGTGTCCTACACTCTGCTGTCATTTTTAGGGGTTTGCTTTGCACATTAGAACGGTGTGCAAAGTCCATGTTGAGGCATGCTTTCCCCGCTCCCCTATTACCTATGAAGTAAAACCTATGACATATACAGGGATGACGTTCTGGGAGAATGGCGGGTGAAGGAAATAGACATTTGCTTACCTCTAAATCCATTTCCATTGCCAGTGGAGCACGCTGGGGAGGGAGACCCCTGGGGCCGGATGACAGGAGCAAAGGCACTCTTTTGTTTGACAGCAGGAAAGACCGAGGAGGAGAATGGAAGGATGGAGGAACTGCTTGAAGAACCAACTGTGGGGCTTGAAGACATCACTGAGAGGGAGGAGATAGCAACTTGAGTTAGAACAAGTAGGGGCTTGGAAAAGTAAACAATCACAAATTTACACCATCAGATCAACCTTAAGAAGCCTCCAACGGGGACTTCCATAAATTCCATGGATTCTATAAGTCTCTTTGAGTCCTGATCATTCAATTTTATTAACTGACTGACTGACTCACACACACACACACACACACACACACACACACATTCAAAGCAAATGGATGTCCCACAACAGATCTTTAATTCCAAGGATGATACTCAGCCCCATATGAACTTATTAAGTAAGTTCAGTCCTCAAATCTCTCTTAAAACACACAAAAGTCTGTGGAACCAGATGAGAAATTCCATAATCAGCAATCAGATCCAAAATGTAAGCTATCTGCATGGATCAATTCATGAAGAGGGAATGGAAAGAATATTTGTTCCTGTTAGTCAGGTACCACAAACAGGGTCATGTCAAGGCAGGACAGGTGAGGCCAAAGAGCTAATCTGGGTTAGCTAAACCAGTGTAAAGTTCTGTGAAGGGAGGAAACATGGGAAAATGAGGAGGTTCACAATGTTGTGAAATACAAGATAGTTAAGTTTGCTAACCCAGGGGTCCACAATCCCTGGGCCATAGACCGGTACCGGGCTGTGGCATGCCGGCAACCGGTCCACACAAACAAGCAAAGCTCCATCCGTGGGATGCAGGCAGCACACAAAACCATGCAGTCTCCGGTCCGTAGAAAAACTTTTCTCCATGGAACCGGTCCCTGGTGCCCAAAAGGTTTTGGGCACTTCTGTTCTAACCAAATATTTTCAAACAGATTTCCCCAGCTTAATGTGTTCTAAGTGAGTCATCATCTCTGTAGGGCACAGTGGGAAACGTGGTCTGATAGATCTGGACCAAATTTAAAATGACCAAACAAATTTCATTTTGAGTTAAAATGCTTCCATTAATCTGTGCCACAGCTGCAGAATCGCCATTGTATTTCATGTTGCTTGTCTATCTTCTCACACTCTGAATGATTCTCTTTAATTTTATTTTTCACAAGGATCTGTTAGCATCTCATTCTAAACTCCGATGGTCAGGAATACATAATTCAGCTGTTTGTTTTGTTTTGTTTTGTTTTTCATTTTCTCTGGAACTGAAACTTGGCACACACAATTCAGCCAGGAAGCAGAATTTGTAAGTTCTCTTTTCTTTAAAAAAAAAAAAAAAAGGAGGGAGCAAAAACACCAGCAAACATCTGTTTGGCCAATTTTAAACTCTGTACGCAAAAGCAATCAACATTTCAGATTTCTTTCTTGGTGACTTTTTTTTTCTTTTTCCAAACAGGCAACTTATTATTAAAAAAAAATTCAAATGTTCTCATCCTACAAATGTGGATTTATGAAAAAAAAAATCAGTACTGCTGCTGGTTAATAAATGTCTTATATAATTAAATATAGACATTGAAGTAGTGCCTACTGGTTTGGGTAATTTTATCCCAGGTTGGGTGTCCTCAAAATCTTACATCAATATATTGCACTATGTCATCACACACAGACACGTGCACACAAACACACCTCTTTTCTTGGGAATATGCCTAATCTCAACCATTTTATTCTTAGGGTGTTTGAGAATGTTGTTTTAATTTTCCTCCCAACTCTGAAATCAATCCTAGCACATTCAGTGGAATTTAATCTCAGTTTTATAGAACTAAAAACTATTATTTGTTTGTTTATTTAGCTTTTGAGTCAATCTTGATTACTGGTGATTGCCTGGAGAAGACCATTTGACATTCTTGGCAATGTTTTTAGAAGGTCTCACCAGGACCTTCTTCCTAGGACTGAGAGAGGGTGACTGGCCCAAAGTCACCCTGTTGGCTTCATCTTAAGGCAGGACTAGATTTCACCATATCTCCCTCTCTATCTCTCTTTCTCCCTCCCTCCCTCCCTCCCTCCCTCCCTCCCTCCCTCCCTCCCTCCCTCTCTCTCTCTCTGGATCAGGACAACATCCATTATTTCTTCTTATACCTAATAACTTTATCTCCATCTATGGATGCTGCCTGAAGAAACCCCTCCCTGTCTAACCTCAAGCCAGGTTCAACAAAATCTTTGTTGTGATGGAAGAGTCAGGGCAGGGCAGGGGTCTTCAAACCTGGTCCTTTTTATGACTTGTGGACTTCAACTCCCAGAATTCTTCAGCCAGTGTGCCTGGCTGAAGAATTCTGGGAATTGAAGTCCACAAGTCATAAAAGGGCCAAATTTGAAGAGCCCTGGCTTATATGGTCCATGCTAGCTGAGGAATTCTGGGAGTTGAAGTCCACAAGTCATAAAAGAGCCAAGTTTAAAGACCCCTGGGTTAGGGCTATGGCAACTATGGCAACTTTATGACCCCAGATTTCAACTCCCAGAATTCCTGAGCTAGCACAGCTGAGAGTGAGTGACTACCCCCTAATAGCCCAATATAGCTACCTTCTTAAAAGCCTCCCCCCCTCTCTCTCTCCCCCCACCCCCACCTCAAAAGCATACTCAAATAATATGTTTTTTTAATGTGGTTAATAATGGTAGCAAAGTCTAGTATCACTAGCTATAGTCTCTTTATTGATACTCCTGTTACTATTTTAATAAGACCTGGTGTCAACCATGGCATTCTTTGCAGGAAAAGCAAAGTTTTAATCAAAAAGAACCTGAAATTCATTTGCAGCTGAGCCCTCAATAAAATTTTAAAAGAGGGAAGAACTACTTTTCACAGAACAATGGAAGTCATGTTGGACTATCCTCACAACATACACATTAACACAGGAAATATATTTTTAAGGGATTTGTCTGAATTTTGCAAATCTTGTGACTTGACACCAGAGTTTGGATAAAGCACTTTGGAAGGTCTTCTTCTTTCTTGATGATCTCTCTTGGAATTGTGGTTTTCTGAGAAGTTAGCCATAAGTGCGACAGCTTTCCTGTAAGGAGGCCACCGCTACTAAGTCCAAGGTCCAAGGTGGTGAAAATCACAACATCCAACCATATCTATCTAATCCATTATCTGCACACTGAGTCCTTTTGCATTAAAAGAGACAATAATTTAGAAACAACTGCTGATGGATATTTATGATAACAGAGGCAAGGCTTAATCAAGCAGTGACTACGTATTTCCTGTCCTTTTGATACTCCTGTTCTTTCTCATCTGGGAACATCTCTGTTCTTTCCCTCCCTCCCCATACACAACTTCAAAAAAGGTTGTTGTAGTTAAAGGTCTGAAATCAACTAGTAGGCAACTTGGAGCTTGAAGCTGCTTGTGGGCCACTCTTGGCATTGGAGATCAGAACATGGCTTAAAAAGGAAAGCTGGGCAGACAGAAGCTATGGATTTGGATGGGATATTAGAGTCCCAGCTGCTGGTGCTGAAGGATACCAAGAGCTAAAGTTCTAGAGCAGGCATATCAAACTCCCGATGTCACATGACGTCACGCGATGTATCACAACCTTTTCCCCATTGCCAGCAATGAAGTGGACATGGTTTCAGTATGATGCATCAGGCCACAGGCCAGGAGTTTGACAGGCCAGGAGAGACAGAGCCAGCTAATACATGTGTCGCAGATAACCACAAACGGTTGACAAAAGCAGTCCTGTGTTCTTGCAGGCTTGCTCTGCAGAAAATTTGGGCTTAATTGTCTAATTACCAGGCTGAGGCACTTTCTGGCAGATGACCCAAAGAAAGGAAATAAACATTTTCTGACAGATTGCCTCTTAAATTATGTCAGCCCCAAGGTCAGGTGGAGCTGGAGGAAGAGAAGAGAAGGAAGCTACTCACAGCCATAGGGCGATCCTGTGGGAGAACCGTTAATAAATCCAGGTGAAGTGGGAACAGCCAGATTGGACATAGGGACATTGCTGTAGCCATTCATGCTGTTACTGGGGGTGCTATAATTAGACTGCTGAGGGGTCGTGCTGGAGGAGTAACCTCGTGGGGATATGCTGCTTGTGTTGCGGATGTAGCCTGCAAGAAATGAACGTGCACTGAGTGTCCATCAATAAGGATAACAGGATGGTCTCTCTTAGACATGCACTCTTCAGTTATCTGGATCAGGAATAGATTCATTCATCCTTTCATTCAATCTTTACTACAGTCACAGACCAGCACAAAAATTAAACATTAAAATAAAGCAAATCTAAACAGAACCAAAGAGAACAAGATATAGTAATGTATTACAATAGACGGTGGAATATTCAGTGGGCGGCCAAGGTCTGCCTAACTTTACAGACAGTGTAACAAAACTTAGCTACATTCAGAAAAATTGAATCATACTGATCCGACAATAGAAGTTGTACATCTAAGAGATCAGAGTTTCCAGGATATTTAATCAGGTAAGGTGTTATGAGTCCATGAGTCCCTATAGAGGGGGAGCAGGAATAGATTTATTTTACTTTTTTTAAATTGTCACTATTATTTCATGCACAATGTGATTCTGTTCCCTTTCTGCATTCACATGATGTTAGGTGCAAAAAAACGGATAAATAACATGAAAGTTCAATTAAACTTTATTGCTATAGCCTATGCAAAAGAATTGTCTGAACCTGCTTAGATAAGGGTCAACAACACTCAAGGAGAGTTGGACTTCGTTCACTTGTGACTACGTAGAGATTCTAGACTGATCCCTATTTTCACTCCGCCCCCAGATTTTGCCACTCCTTCTCTCACACATGATGCCACATAATCCTGTCTCTACATTTCTATGCCCTTTCCCCTATCTTCTACTTTTCCCAACAGACCTGTTGGGAAACAGTGGTTCCCAAAACGTGTGCAATTTTTCCTGCATGGTTTGATCAAACTTCATTGTAAAATTAGGATGCAAAGAACAATTATATTAGGATGCAAAGAACAATTAGGATGCAAAGAACAATTATACTTCAGAATTATCTGCATTTAAATACAAGCAAATGTAAGAAGTCTTCCATAATTTGAAGACACGAATAGAAGAGACACTTAATGATTTTATTTTTTTCATCCAGGTAGTTGTGGCTAAGATATAGTGCCAAGTGAGGAAGATAGTGGGTAAATGTGCGTTTAAAGCTCAGGATTTATAGACAGTACTTTCTGTAAATGAAATACAATAATAGGCTGCTAACAGTGGACTTTGAAGTTTAATTTTGTTGTTGATTTTATCTGTTAACTATGTTTTTTTCTATATAGTAGACAGATGTCAGGCCAAATGCCTTGGATAAATGGGCATAGTGTTCTAAAAATGTATAAACTGTGTGCCTGCTTTGCAAGGAGAGATTGTTTATTGTTTTTGAAATATATTTAACATTATTCAATTGGGGGGGATTTATGTGCGTTTACTTTGTTTTTTCTTTTTATGCACATTATTTTCTGTTTATGTAGTCTTGTCTAGTTTTGTTTCACTTTTATATTTCCTTTCCTCTCCCCCCCCCTTTGGAAGTTTGTACAAAATATACACACACACACACAAAAAGAAGCTATAGAGAGGAAAAATACCATGAAAATACCATGAAAAAATGCCCAAGTGTACAACAAAATAACATTTTCCCTGGAATCAAAATCCTAAATAACGATGAAAAAATAATAATTCTTCTAGGTTCGTTGATCTAAATAGAATGGAAAGGAAATAATTTGAGGGTTTACTTTCACTTTTTTCCAAAGGAGAAAAGAATTTCAATTTAATTCTCAGGGGTGGATTATGGCATTCTTATTCAGTTACCAGATGGCTGAGAAGTGTGTATGAGTGCTACATTTTTTTTTTTAATTATACAATCCTCATTCCAGCAGTCCTCAGCCTCCCTGATTCCTCACACTTCAGTTGAGTCCCAGAAACTTAGTGACTGAACAACAACAAATAGTTCATCTTATGAAGTGAAAGATAGAATTCCAGAGTTGAAAAAGATTTGGGGAGTTTGGTTATCACCCAGTCCAGCTCTCTTTCCAGCGCAAGATGCATAATGTAGGCTGTCATCTTCTTGTCCAATCATGAAAGAAAAAGGGCAACCTTGCCAAACCGAGAACAAATTGTTTGATAGTCAAATAACTTCTACTATTGGGAAGTCTTACTTAAGCTTGCACCCAACAACCTCCAGTTCTGGTTTTGCTAAGCAGAGCAACAGAAAATAAAGTTTATCTTTAGAAAGTGACCTCTTCTAAGCTGCTCCACTACTCCAAATATTTGTTTTATCAAATAAGGATGACATATTAGGAATCTTCTATTATTTGATGTGTACGCAGCCATACGTGTATGCATTTTTAAAACTGATGATGTTACCTAGTTGGGTAATAAAACATCTGCAGGCAAATGATGAAGCTCAGATAGTATCAAGGACTCCATAATTCAACCCTGAGCTACAAATATTCTCTTCGATTAGTAAAATTATTAATTGTCAAAAATTGCATAGAATGATGTGCTAATGGTTGATCTGAACCTTCCAAAACCTCTTTTATTATGTGTAGCTAAGATGCGTATCTGAAAGCAGTGGTTGAGCTATGATATATTTTCAAAAGGATACAGCAGATACTTTAAATTAAACATCCTTTCACAGTATTGCTTGGCAAATCACATCCACTTTGAGAGACTATAAATCCATTCAGGATTTATTTTATAAACGTATTTAAAAACCTTCTTTAATTCTGTATAATTTTACATTTCTCTCAAAATCAGAGTCTTCGGATGATTAATTGCAACACTAAGGGATTGTCTGTCAAAGTTAACACGAGTGCGCTGATGCTACTACTAACTCCACAAATACTGTTTTGCAGGATAAAATATAAGATCCTCTCTAAAGATCTGTGACAGCGTCTCACCCTTAAGCAAGTTCCACTAGTTGACAAGCCCTTCCCTTTGTTTGACAACATATGTACATTTTGCCAATCAGATCTGCATGTTGAAAGAATGTGAAAGGATGTTGTTTCAAGATCTGGAAAAAATCAGCACACTTGTGTTTTGAATATTTATAACTTTAACATGGGATTTGCTGCAAATTGTGGTCAAGGCTGCACCTTCCTGGGGTTTTCTGCAGAGATTCGTGGTTAATTCTTTTTTCCCACAAAGGATGGATTTTGAAAGGTAAACCATTTGGAAATTGGAAGAGAGAGAAATGAAACAACGGAATGCAACACGGAACATATGAGCGACAGAGATGGTTAAGGCTATGAACAGGGAATGTTTTAGAAGAAAATTAAAAGTATTTCAGAATAGCAGCAGCATCCAGTTTGTTCAGAAAACCTATTTGTGCCATTGTGTCTGGAGAAAGATTCAGGATGTGAAATGCAAGCTTTAATTACCATGAATAATTAGCACAGGAGAAAAGTATTTTCCCTAACAATAAATTGAGGGTGAGTAGGTGGGTTGGTATTAACTTGGAAGGGACCTTGGAGGCCTTCCAACTTTGTTATTCTGTATTATGATCCTGAGTAAGATTTATAGGCTTCTACTATTTCTTCTCTATGTTTATTTTTAATTTAAGGACTGTCTTCTGATCTGGCATATTTCTAGGGACCTTGGAGGCATTCTAATCCAACTCTCTGCACAAGCAGGAGACCTTATATCATTCCGAACAAATGGCTGTCCAATCTCTTCTTAAAAACCTAAAAATGTCCTAGGTTGGATGTCTCTTTGATAAATTTCCATCCATGACTTCTTGACCTGCCCTCAGGTGCTTTGGAAAATAATTCAACCCTCAAGTAGAATAGAATAGAACAGAACAGAACAGAACAGAATAGAATAGAATAGAATACAACAGAATACAACAACAGAATAGAATAGAATAGAATAGAATAGAATAGAATAGAATAGAATAGAATAGAATAGAATAGAATAGAAGGGATCTTGGAGGTCTTGTAGTCCAGCCCCCTGCTCAAGCAGGAGAACCTATACAATCTCAGACAAGTAACTGTCTAGCCTCTTCTTAAAAATCTCCAGTGATGGAGCGCCCATGATTTCTGGAGGCAAGCTGTTCCACTGGTTAATTGTCCTCACTATCAGGAAGTTTCTCCTTAATTCCAGATATTAAGTACTGGAAGATAGCTGTCCTATCAGCCCTAGTCCTTCTCTTCATTAGACTAGACATACCTAATTCATTGTAGGGATTTAGCCCCCAGGCCCCTTATTATCTTTGTTGCTTTTCTCTGCACTCTTTTTGGAGTCTCAACAGCTTCTTCTTCTTTTATTGTGATGACCAGAACTGAATAATATTGAAACTAATGATTGTGTATAAGTAAAGAAAATATATTTTTATGATGGTCCTAGTAATTAATAAAGACAACATCAGTTTCTGACCATCATCTTCTTGAAGCAAAACCTCCATTCATTGTGTACCTTTCAGTTCAGCACTTTTACCTTGATTATTCCCTTGTGTGGACTCAGAGATGCTGACTCCCAACTGGCTGCCATAGGAGTTGATGCCCATCATGGCACTGTGAGCAGGAGAGCTAGACAAAGCAGGGATCTGACCTGGATTTCTTGGGACACTGTAGAGAGCTTCTGCAATATCAGCAGCTCGCTTCAGAATAATGTCCTGAAACAAATAAACAAACAACAAGAAAAAAAAATCAGCATAAATTTTATTCCAGGTGGACTGATTGGCTTTCCAGATTTAAAAAGAAGAAGAAAGAAATCCTCCCCAGATGTTCAGCAAACATGTGTCTTGAGCTGGAGAGGGACCAGGTAAGATAGGTATGAAAATACCAAGATCAGGTCTGCTGCTGCTGCTGCTGCTGCTGTTATTTCTAATTTCTAAGATTTCAGTTCAAATAGGCGCTCAGACTAATTATACTTGGCTAACTGGCTAATTTCAAGCCCTCTTCCTCAACGGTTTCATACTGTAAAGAGTAAACTGTTCCTTTCTGTTCTGCCTCTCTGTGCAGTGGAAGACCAAGAGAGAAAAGGGTATCCGAAGGAAAGATAATGGAGGATAATGGAGGGGTTTATAAAACCTGACCCCTGGATGATTGTTTCTGTATTGTTGTTTTGTTATGTTTTATGTGTTTTTTATTGTTAGCCGCCCAGAGTGGGGCGGCTTATAAATTTTAAAAATAAAATAAATAAATAAAATAAAGGAGGAGATGCCAGGATGAGAAAAAAAGAGAACTCCCCTCACTTGCCTCAACTCCATCAACCTTTGACATCTGAAATAGCTCTCCTTGAGGGAGATGAGCAGTCTAGAAACATGAAATATAAATAAATAAAGTCACTCTGATGAGAAATGTAGAAAAAATACTACTCAATCCTCACCTAGAGCCTAAGTGAACAATACCTAGTCTTAAAGCAGCAAACATAACAACCTAAAAGCCCTCCGGATATTGACACTTAAGAACAGGTGTTATCTGTCCCTGTTTTGGGAGGGCACTGAATGGGAGGCAGAGAGGAAGAACAAACAAATAAATATCATAGAAAAAGAAGGCTAGGAAAACCAGTAGATTAAAGGCAAAGAAAGCAAGAATGGGATAAAGTAAGGTCTCCAACTGCAAGCTTTTAAAAAATGTGCATAAAACTTTTTAGAAGTTCCTGTAGAAGCCAGCCTTCTCTGTTTGCAGACTATCTGAATAGCAATAAACCAATCCAATGGAGGCAAAGACTGACAGCACGCTAGAAATTTCATCAAGCAGGATGATGGAAGAGGAACAGAACTAGCCAGTTGTACGCCCATCCTCAGCAACAGAGTTTGGAGGAAGAAGCAATGGTCTTCTCTGAATGGATTAATGGACTGCAGTGGCAGATAAATTCTGTACAAGCATGAGAAAGACCCCCCGGGTAGAAGGGTGGAGGAGTTTTAATGGAGCATTAAAGCCTCATCAGTTCCACTCAAGTAGGTCAGGTGAAAAGGTGACTCGGGAGAAGCTGCAAACACAACACCTTCTTTACACATTCACAGGGAAAAAAGAGAGAGGAACTCTAACCTGATTATTATGTGGTGTCCCATACAGTGCTTCGACTAGGTCAGCTGCTCGCTTCAAAAGCATCTCCTGCAAGCAGAAAGGAAGGACAACCAAGGATGTGTCATGCATTGAAAAATGTGGCGGTAAGGACTAGGCAAGCACAGTGTGAAACCAACAAGCAGGACAAATGCCAGAAACAACTAGTGGGGTTTTTTTTTTAAAAAATTATCATTTATTAGAAATTCATACCTCACCGTTCTGTTTGTGCACTCCCAGTAACTTTTTGCCATGAAATCCAATAGAGGGAAGGGCACACTTAACCAGGCTTCCTGGTTCAATTCAATCATGCTCTGAACATGCTAAGCCGTGAAGCATGGTTTACCAACACCGTGTTAAACCAAACCAAACCAAACACCATCAGACTCATATCATGAGTCTGCCCAGAGCCAGCTGTGATTTTTACTGAATTATTTCATTTTTGTTTTCATCAGTTCCATTCAGCTTATGTTGCGTGCTGTTTGGCTTTTATTTTTTATTGAGTTTAGAGTTGTTTTATTCTCGTTGTGGATGTTTCAACCAGTATCTGTTCTGTGCAAGCCACTGAGTGTCTCTTTGGATTGTGGCAACACAGAAATGTGTTTAATAAGTAAATAAACTCACAATATACTGAACCTATTGAGGGGCTGACCTTCACTGTGCAGGTAGTCCTTGCGTAGAACTATTTGTTTAGAGACCATTCGAAGCTACAACAGCACTGAAAAAATTACTTAGGAGCATTTTTCACACTTGCAGCATCCCCACGGTCACATGATCAAAATACAGATGCTTGATAACAGACTCAAATTTATGATGGTTGCAGTGGCCCATTGCAATCTGGCTTCCAGCTGGGGTTGTTACACCCAGTCTGACTTCCCCGTTGATAAGGAAGGTCAACAGGGAAGACAGATTCACTTAACAACTATGTTACTAACTTAACAACTGCAGGGATTCACAACTGGGGCAAGAAAAGTCATAAAATGGGGCAAAATTCACTGAACTGCCGAGCTTAATGACAGAAATTTTGGACCCAGTCATGGCCGTAAGCCAAGGACTACCTGTACTGTGCCTAAATCGGCTACAGATTTGGGTAAACCATGCTTAGAATCAAACGTGAGACGTTGATTTGTGATTCGGCAGGCCGGACCAATGCAGCCGTTATTTTTTATCTGGTTAAGTGAATGAAGTCAACAGGTGAGGAAGGGAGCTTTACCTTGGCTAGTCGCTCTGGATCACCAGGATGTCTTGGGATGACTTTCTGGAGTCTTTGGAAACCATAGTCTATGGTTGGCTCATTTAAAGCTGAAAAAGAGGGCGGGAAAAGAATAACAGGTGAAATTTTGGTAGGAGAGGCAAAAGAAATAATGGAAGGAACCAATCATTAATGCTGCACACATAGGAAGAAATGGATAGTATTGTGAACTCCGAAGCTTCCTCCTTTTATTATGTCTTCAAGATGGACAATGATTAATATGTATATGTTACTTACACATTAAGGGTGTACATCTATGCATGTGTCGTATATAGTATGTTTAAATGTGTGTTATGTATGTGTACACTTCGAGAGCAAGCAACTAAATTTAATTTTTAATGTGTGCCATTGTGCCCACAGTAAAAAATGACAATAAAAGCTATCTATCTATCTATCTATCTATCTATCTATCTATCTATCTATCTATCTATCTATCTATCTATCTATCTTTCTATCTACCTATCTATCTACCTATCTATCCATCTACCTATCTATCCGTCTATCTATCTATCTATCTATCTATCTATCTATCTATCTATCTATCTATCTATCATAGAAGCTAACTAATCAAAGAGAGAAAAGAAAATAAGCTTTTCAACATTTGTCAGAGCTACTGCTCAAAGAGCAGGTGACACTTATAGCCAGGAGAGATTTTATCTTGGGCATTGTTAATGCTCTTTCTTAAACAGGGAAGCCCTTCAGATGCTCATTCACACCCTAGGCACCTCACAATTGGACTATGGCAACGTGTTTTGCATGGAGCTGCCCTTGAAGGCCATCTGGAAGCTGCAGATGGTTCAAAATGTAACAATGTGAATGGTAATAGGTGCTTCTAATTATGCCCATGTGTCATCACTGCTACCTAACTTGCATTGGTTACCAGTCAGCTTCTGCATAATGGGGAGCAGAAATAACCTTGAGGAATAAGAGGATAAGTCACAATCAAGGCAATCATCAGATAGAAGAAATTTCAGTCTGAGACAGAAGCTTAATTTTAAGAAGTGTATGACACTTGTAATCCACTGTGAGAATAACCTTAGGGGATAGAAGGAAGAGCCACAGCCTAGACAATAGTTTGATAAGAGAAATCAAAATCCAAAGCATCTCAGAAGGATCCAGATTTCTGGAAAGCAAATGCCGGGAAGGAGAGAAGTTCTTTCAGACATGCAAGAATCTGTTACTGTAACTTACAATAAAGATAGAATTCATTTTCATGATTTTGGTTTCCTATCTAGACTTCCTTGAAGGGGTAACCAACATGACAGTCCCTTGCAAGTATTAAAACTTACAAGATTCTTGTATTGTAACTTTTTAATAAAATTAGTATTAGCGTTCCTAACTTTGGTTTCCTAGACTGGTATACTTAAAAGGGCTGACATTCTGGGGGCAAGTCAAGATGCTGATTGGATATATTGTCAGTTGCCCAACTTTTTCAGCCTTAACAAATCCAATCAATCAAACCAAATCAATCAAATATATCCAATCCAATCCAATCAAATATTAACTTTGCTGAGCAAGAAATGATAAAATAGATCTTGTGGACAATTAACATTGTTTGGGATTACAATATTGCTGCTTAGCAATGAATAATCCTTAAAGATCCATCTTGGTCACCCAAAAGGAACTACATTATCCTGTAATGTAGAACTTCTTCTCTAATTCTGCTCCCACTTGATGTCTCAGAAGGACTAAAAGAGTCTAATGTAGAGGTTTACACAGTGAAGGGCAAATCCTGGAGAAGATCACTGCTTTTATTTTCCCTTTGCATCTAATTGGTACTTTGATGTTCAATACAACTACAGATGTGACTTTGGACAGAAAAAAAAATGAAGTCAGGGAAAAACCCAAAAAACTTACAAAATGATTTAAGCAAGGGGGATCAGATCATCACAGTTGATGATCATAAGAGATGCCTTCCACAGGATGATATTTTGCCTGGAGGACACATAAATTTATTTAGAGAACAACTACTCACTCTACATCAATAAAGTGGTCCACACCCATATTTCTCAAGAGGTCTCCAAATATTCATAATTTAATTTGGCTGAATAGAACCAATTACAATGCCATCTCCAAAAAGGGCTTCCAGAAGACTATCAGTGATCTCAGAGTTGTAGAATAGATGGGAAGTCAGACAAACATCTCATGAGGAGGCAAACCACTTTAGTGCAGCTTCCAAGAAAAACACAAAAAGATTCCATGGAGTCATCACGGGAAGAACCCAACTCAAGGAAATCTTTATTTACTCCAAATAGTTGGTAATTTGCCTACTTCAACTGGTCCATCTTGCTCCATTCCTCATTAGTAAGAGAAATTCAAAATGACAGACAGTTTGCAATCTTCTGCCTGCCATTATTAGGGCCATTAGGGTGCACTTGGCCAAAGAGAATGCCCAACCATTTCTGACCCATGTTAATTTCTTGACGTTTTCTGGAAATCTATTCCACCGCATTTCTCGATTCGTCTGCTTTTTCTTTTTTTAAAAAATAAATAAATTGATAGTTAATTGTGGATTTCTGATTTTTTTTTTGCACAAGATAACATATAACACAATGACTTATTGTCTTTGACTGCAAAAATTCTGATAATGATAACCTTTCATAATTGAAAGATAGCTTATCTTCTTTTAATCAAAGTACAGTTTCTCACTAGTCAGAGAACTACCCCCCCAAAAAAAAAGAGTTCCAGGAGATGCAACCTGGAAATGTTCATAGCATAGTGAGCAAAACCCTTTAGCATTGCAACTTTGCTGTGTTAGAATGTGAAATTAAACCTGGTGCCAATTCAGCTTTTTTGTCTGGCCTCAGATTTTCCCATCTGGCTGACTTTAGCAGAACAGAATGGAAGTACCCTATGTAGCCGTAATAGGCACTGGTGACATGGATTTTGATTTATTTTAATGGAATAATGATGGGCCAGTTTAAAAATTGTTGGATGGAATCAAACGGGGGCTGAATGGGAAAGACTTAGACCTAAGAATTTCAACTCTGCTATACTTAGAAAAAACTTTGATGCCTATTGGGAAACATTCTGGATCACTTAAAGAGTTTAATAATACACATTTCAACTGCCATAGAATCTATTTCCCTTCTGGGAGCAGAGTAGAGAAAATGTGCCAATAATCGTGAGAATTTGTCAGAAGCCTCTTGAGATCTTATATATCACTATCTGCCATTTCTCTTGTTCATTCTGAGCCTAATAGTTGAAGTAAGTTACATGTCTTGGATCAAGCTACAGAGATTATAAATTGGAGAAGCTTTTTTCTTAAAAAAAAAAAAGGAAAGAAAAAGAAAAGAAAACCTAATGATCTAAATGCACATACTTAACCAAGAATATCTAATGGGAATATTCAAATTTGTAACTCAGGGATAAAATCTGATTACTACTCAATATTAATTTTGAAGACTACCTTAAGTATGAATTTATTTTGTGGTGGTAACAGATCAGTAAAGGCAGTCCTTGATTTACGATCCCAACTGAGCCCAAAATTTCCGTTGCTGAGTAAGTCATTTGTTAAGTGAGTTTTGTCCCATTTTCCAACTTTTTCTTGCCACAATTGTTAAATGAAACACTGCAGTTGTTAAGTTAGTAATATAGTTGTTAAGTGAATCTGGATTCCCCATTGACTATGTTTGTCAGAAGGTTGCAAAAGGGGTCATGTGACCCCAGGATATTGCAACTGTCATAAATATGAGTCAATTGCCCAGCATCTGGGTTTTCACTCTGTGACCATGGGGATGCTATAATGATCTCAAGAGTGAAAAACGATCATGAGTCACTTTTTTCCCAGTGGATATTGTAACTTCGAACAGTCACTTAATGAACTGCTGTAAGTCAAGGATTATCTGGAACAGTATTCCATGCCAAAATGGATGAGGACAAAAAGCAAGATTTTCTTCAGTGTGACTCCCAGGTTCTGGAATGTTAATGCAAGTAAGTTTAACCTGGTTTCCTCAATGCATTGGGGGGGAAAAAATCAACAATCACTGTGAGGAGCAAACCGCATCTTGGCTTGTTCAAGGTCATGCACTGATATTCAGCTTTATCTCCCATCTCTTGCTCTTTGTCTGTCGTGATTTTGCTATTGATGGTTTCAAGGTGAGAGATCTCCTTTTGGAAGGTTCAAGATCTCTTCCAACTATTACTTAAAAACCAGTAAAGCTGAACTGTCTGTTGTAAACTGGACCGAGCGGACAGCAAACTTTCAATTTAGCAGAGCAGGATTTTGTTCATGGATATTTTATACGTTTTTCACATGTATGTATGACAAGCAAGATTTTACATATGCACAGAAGTATGTAATATGTGGACAGATTTTAGTTTGTTGCATCTGTAACCAATGGTTTAGTGGTATTAAAAATACAAAGATATCCTCTCTGAATCCCTTCTTTTCCTCCAAAACAAAATCAGCAGGGACATACTTTAAGGACTCAGTCTGTCATTTCGGATTTCAAATCTCCACAAAGAGCTGTCTAACTAATTAAGCCATGGAGGGTTTCTCCCACCATACTGGGCGGGAGGAAAGATGCTCAGCATGATAACCAATGGTTGGCACCCTGATCAGTCTCATGATTGTCATCCACACAACCTTGATAGAGGGCTCCCCTGAAAAGAAATTGCTAGCAGATCTTTAACTAGAGCAATGCTAGCGTGCAATCCTTTGCCATAACCTATTAAAAGTACCCATCACAGAGAACATATGCATGCAGATAACAGCTCCCACGTTGACATTTAGATGTACCCTTGGAATTTATCTTTAATTTTTATAGTTGTCTTCTTTTTTAAAGAGTTTATGGGTCTTTCTTCAAACAAGCTGTCTCGATGCTGTTCTTGTTCCGCTAATGCCTAATCGTTTGGAACATGAAATGAATATTGGATTTGGTATTAAATATTGAAGGATTCTCCTTAGATCTTCAGCAGCTGAATCATGAACTCTTGAGATCTCTGCCTTGCCATGTACATCTGCTTGCTAATAGGAACAGGACAACGAAGATTTTGTGGCAGATTCCCTTGGGTGATGCTGCTAGGAGCTTGTCTCAACTCGGAGATTGCTATCAGCTTCCCAGAGCTTAGATTACAATCAGATTAAAGCATGCATCCAAAACTCTAAACTGATCTCTATCCCTGGTCAGGAACAATAGCTCTAAATTCGATAGAAACAAATATATGCTAAGAGATGAGAAACTGAATATTTGCATTTCTATTGGCCTGGATTTGCTCAGAAGTAAATAAGAATGGAACATTTAGCAATAGCCTGTTTCTACTACGGATATCTTTAGAGTTTAGTTTGGAATGGCCCAACCTTGCTTCTAAAAGGAAATAACATATTAGGAGTGCTCCATTATTTTCCCACCCTACATAAAATTAGCAAAATTGCACGAATCTGTAGTTTGTTGGAATTTAGCACCTTCTACTCATCTGTCTTACTTTCTAATTCCACATGATCAGTGCATCTAAGCAACCCTGACTAGCATGTGCGAGGATTGTGTCAAGAATTATTGATGTAATATACATCAATGTATATATGATGTTTTATCAGGGTGCATCTTTCTGTGCAAGGATAAAACACTTTAACGCAAAGGCAGACTTGACTTGATTTTAAATACAGTTCTAGCAAGATTTTTTTTTTATGTGATGTGCTGCGTAAAACACTGCACCGAGAAAAAAGCAAACAACAACAACAAATGATATGGTCACACCTATGATAATATCAGCTTGAAGGTTGCACCTATCATGGCCTTTTTTGAGTGGCTGGTCCTCAAGGATAAACTGCATGATAAACTATATGATTTCATGTCATGTTATATTTCAGCATATTTGTCTTCTGTCTTGCACTAGTTAAAGAAAAGTAAGGCAACTGCCACATGATAAAAAATGTGCAAGTCAAATAGATTAAGAATAATTGGAACCCATGTACATTTGAGCCTTTGCCCCGTAATGCTCAAATGTACATAGAAATTACAAATCTAAATAAATAAAATTAAAAGAAAGACATTAAACATCTAAATACTGGATTTGCATGGGCATAAGAGTCATCTTATATCTGTTAAGATGAACAGAAGACCTTGTTGAAAATAAGCCAAGTTAGGAGATGCAAATAGCCTTTGAAGACTAGCCATCATTTGGGAAAGGCTGCTTGCCTGATGAACTTAACCCTTTTGTAACCAGATCTTTTGTCTCTTTTTTTGGTTTTTCCTTTTTCATATACCTCTTCTCCTCCATCCAATTTTTTTCCTCCCCTTTCTCTTCTTTTAACACTACCGCCGTTCTTTTCCTTCATCTCCTTTTCATCTGTTCTCCTTCCCTCCCCCCAACTTTTGAATGGAGAAAGGGGAACATGTGTGTGTGCATATTTAGTTGTTAGTTTCTGTGTGTGAGAATGAAGCAACAGAGAAGGGCTGGTATATGCAGATAAATTAATTTTTTTAATTGAGTTTTTCTTTTACAGGCAATGCATTAATTTTATTTATGTACAGGGCTCTTATTTTATAGGCAATGAGTTAATTTTATTTATGTATAGGGCTACTTTATTTTATAGGTAATTAATTTGAACCAGTGATTATTAATTATTATTTTTTTGTTCTATCCATGCCCTTTTTAGAGTGTGGTTTTATACAGAGAGAGAGAGAGAGGGAGAGAGAGAGAGAGAGAAGGAGAGAGAGAGAGAAGGAGAGAGAGGGGGGGGGAGGGAGGGAGAGAGAGAGAGAGAGAAGGAGAGAGAGAGAGAAGGAGAGAGAGAGAAAAGGAGAGAGAGAGAGAGAGGGAGGGAGAGAGAGAGAGAAAGAAAGAAAGAATACCTATTCAGAGAGGGAGGAATCCCTATGATGGAATAACAATTTTAAGTTAACAAGATTGAGAAGCTGGACAGGTCGCAGGATGTTTTCCTTATATTTAAGGTTTATTTCTCCTTCTACTTTTTTTTTTCTTTTGAGATGAGAGACCTTTCATCCATTCTAGTAAATATGGCATTACCCACCCTGCCAATTTAATATTCCTCTGGCAATTTTGCAGGGAACGTGTGGCATGTTTTCCAAGATAAGATAGGCTTCGGGCAAAAAAAAAAAAACAGAACAACCAAAACAGAATAATGAGTAGTTTCTTCTTTTAAAGCATACCATCATGGTTAATAATGTAATCTATAGCGTGTTTTTTTTAAAAAAACCTACTGTCGTCATAATAGGTTCTGATCATTGCTGATACCTTGAACGGAGGAGAAAAACAACACACTGGGATAATTGTGCGGCTTGGAAGTTCCTGTATTGCTCTGTGTCTTTCTTGAAAGTATTTTCCTACCAGCCAAAAAGAGCTGGGGGAATTGGTTACACCAGGTGCAGCTGTATTTAATAGTTGTGTTTATCACTTTGCTTGTCATGATCTACTTAGACAGACTGAGAAATTGCTTGATTTTACCCTTGCTAATTTTGTGAAGCATCTTCTAGCCTATAGCAGCAAAAACAACTTTTTTCCCCCTCTCCTTGGGTGAACCTAACAAAGAATCTCTACCAATTTCCTTGCCTTCATTCCTCAGTGTGTCCAAACAGCAGCGGCGGAGTGAAAAACAATCACCACCCACTATCCTGTTTTTCATTCTTGCCTGGTTTTCAGATTGGATAGATGCTCTGGTAAACATCTCCATTAAGTATTACAGTGGAGCGTTATGGGGGACTACATTTGCTTTTGGTCTGAAAGTTTCATCTGGTAAGAACGAAAGCAACCAGGACTCCTTACGTATCAAAACATTCTTCCAACAACTGCGCTGGCCGGTTCAAGATTTTTATTGTGCCCATACAGACAGTTCGGGACCAAGATTCTTGGTGGAATGACTTTGGGTTAGATTTGGCAATCACAAATGTCCTTTGCTGGGGAAAATAGAGCCTGAATATTAAGCAGGAATATTAAGCTCATGGGAGACCCACTTTTGATTTTCCATAAGATTGATATTTCTCTGTTCATCCTTCTAAAAAATACACACACACACACACACACATAGATAAAATTTGCTCCCACCAAGTCATGTTTGACTCTAGGGGGTGGCGCTCAACACTGGGAGCCAGCATTGTCCAAAGATGCTTCTGTGGTCATGTGGCCAGCATGACTGTATGCCGAGGCATATGGAACAAGTGGTACCTTCTTGCATTTGCTTGCTTTCAAACTGCTAGGTTGACAGGAGTCGGGGTTTCACCCCTGTATGCCCACCCCAAAGTCAGGGGACTGCATTCCTTAACAGAATAACAAGAGTTGGAAGGGACCTTGGAGGTCTTCTAGTCCAACCTCCTGCTCAGGCAGGAGACCCTATACTATTTCAGACTAGTGGCTGTCCAGTCTCTTCTTAAAGACCTCCAGTGATGGAGCACCCACAACTTCTGGTGGCAAGCTCTTCCACTAGTTAATTGTCCTCACTGATAGCCAAAGCTGAAATAGACATGGAGATATGGAACCAAGCCACTGTATAGTGGGAGGCAGTCTTTCACTGAACCAGCTGAAGTCCTCTGCATCTCCAAAGCTCCTCCTTGATGTAACATAGAAACTCTTCATCTTCAACTCTCCACTGGGAAATACATCACTCTCCTGCCAGATCCCTTTGATCTGGTTTCAGTATGCCCCAGTACAGAGGACAGATGTGGAAAAGACATGTCTTCAATAAATGGGATCTCAGAATCGGGGCAAGGAGCTGGTCTTTTCCTGCACAACCATTCATCTATCTCTTTTTCATTTTATTGACTTTCCTAATTTCTATTAAAGCTCAGAGATTCCCAGGGAAGGGTATTCACCTGTCTCTCCAACACCACTGTAAGCAATCAGGGAGACTATGGAGCATGTATTGTAGGAAATAACCCACTAAAATAATGTCCCAACTATCACCACCATCTCTAACAGAAACAAATCAAGTAAATTAAAAAAACAACAACAACCACCTACAGAACGTCAAGAGAAATTCTCAGGAAAGGAATGTTCTGTTCTGTTCTGTTTTTCCAAGGTAAGAAAACTTTTGAGAATTTGCAAGGCCGTTTAATGAAGGCTATTTCATTAGGACTAATTAAGGGGGAAAGCTCAAAAACAAGGCAGGAAAATCCTTGTGATTTTTGTCTCCAAAATGTGATATTGAGAGGAGATCTAACTTGGAAACACAGAATATGGTTTTTTAGCAAGGACACCACATTCACACGCACACACAAAAACTGTAACTCTGTTCAGGCCATATCTGAATGAAGTATGAAAAGTGTGCTGCAAAAATATCATAAAAAGGTACAACATTTTTTTTGGGGGGGAAACTGTATTAATTCGTGAAATGAACCCCCCGTTTGAATCCTTAGTAGTGTAGGAGAGGGAGATAAATGAAGTCCTCCCACAATTGCAGCTTCGCAATGTGATATTTTTACATACCTGTATAAATAAATCTACCAGGAGCTCCTTTGCAAAATTGTTTGGATTTGTACGATAATGTTACTTCAACCACGCCAGGGATGTGACGAGGAGGTGTTTGGACCCGGATGGCATGTGGGGTGATCAGCTGAGAAAATAAAAAAAAAAAGAAAATATATTGAGACAGTTATGACAATTGTGATTTTGCCAGAAAAGCAACACTCATTCTCAGTGTGTGCTTGTTGATGAATCTGTAAGTCAAAATTTAGTAGAAGGGAACTTTCCCAGTATTTGAAAAAGTGCTGAGTTATTGGGGTCAACTTCAGATAAGTCTCTCGGGTCAAAAATTAAACAGGAAAAGATTTTGCTAGTATAGAAAATCCCAGAAAATTCCCAGATGGGGAAATAAATAAATAAAATCCAAGGAAGGAAGGAAGGAAGGAAGGAAGGAAGGAAGGAAGGAAGGAAGGAAGGAAGGAAGGAAGGAAGGAAGGAAGGAAGGAAGGAAGGAAGGAAGGAAGGAAGGAAGGTCAATGACAAGCTACTTCCATAATATTGTCAAGAAAAATAGTCTGATTCTGTCTGTCTTATCAATAGGAAGCAATCTTGACATGAAAACATCTTTATGTGATTAACTGTGAAGAGCTCAGGAACAGTTATTCAGATTTTGCATATAGCCTGATTTATTCTTACATTGTGCTTTTTTGTACAAGGCACGAGTCTCTGGAAACAATATTGGCCCAAAGCTATGCTGTGAACTAGGTGACGCTGGTACCTCATATGAAGCCTGAACTGCATGGCTACATTGGAGCAAAGAATTCTCCCAAAATAATTTAAAGTATTTAACATTTGAAGCCCTTAAATGGACCAGATTCTGATTATCTCGCAAGATTCATTCATTCTTTATGAACCTGTCCACGCATTAATATCACGAAAATCTCTTCTGAAAATATACTCACTTTTGGAAGCCAATTTCTTAGAAAGTATGAGAGACACTTTCCCCTGCGTTTCCATCAACCTATAGAATGCATTCCTTTCTGATTCCTCTTTAGAATATCTCTTTTGCAATTGCGTTTGTTTTATCTGTTGAATTTGGGGTGAGGGAGTATCTGTCTTTTCTTGGTTTTGCCTGTTTCTTATATAAAGATGTCAGTGAGTGTTCCGTTGGAATAGAAAGGTACTAATAAAGGAAAATATTTATAGCTCAGGGTTGACGTGAGGGGTCCTTGGTGCTCTCTGAGCTTGCTAGTTTTCTAGCAAATGGTTTATTACCCAAACTAAGTAACATCATTAGCGCTAGTGATCAGTACTTTTAATACCAAGAAAGATAAGTATTAAAACCTTAAATAAAAAAGAATAAAAAATAGTGTGTGTGTGTGTGTATGCTGCATAAATGTGAGCATACACACATACATACAAACACAGAGAGATAAGTACAATTTGAAGTTCCAGATTAGAAATACTTTTGAAATATTTCTCCCCAACTCTGGAATTCTAAACTACTTGCTCTATTTTCCAAAGTGGAATTAGCATAATTTGGAATTTCCCGTGATTTTTCTTTTGGGTTTTATATAGCACGTTAGAAGTGGATATCTTTACTGTATTTTATTTATTTATTTACTTTGTATTCTGACACTTTATGAATTATTCTTTTGACTATAATCTCTGGTTTTGTGAAGTATGCTTTGATCCATGCACAGAAGTACAGGCCTATATGTAAAAGACAACGTGTGTGTGTGCATGTGTGTGTGTGTGTGTGTGTGTGTGTTTGCCTGTGTGCACATGCATGGTATCTATAATCACATCAGCATTGTTTTTTGTTGTTGTTTGGAAGGTGGTAATCAATCTGAATGAAAGAAAACACGGACATTTGCACTACATAATGTATAACTGTGTAGACTGGACTCAAATTAAAACAGAAAGATAGCAACGGAAAACGTTATGAAACTTTACTCTCCTTGGATGCTACCATTTACATTTTATTCTCTGAGAGATGATTAGTGCAATTCCAAACTACCTTGACTGTTCAAGAACAGTCTGAAAAAAAATGCAACTAGGAAGCAAGCTTGCCTACCTCACTCCACACAAGCATGGTCCCAAATACGACTTGAAGCCCATCAAAAAAGTTGTCCCCTATAATGATCACCATGGCTCCACCAGTGGTCCAGCCTTCACTTGGACTAATAGCTTTGATGCATGGGGTAGCTAAAGAGAGAAGTGACAAGAAGAAGAAAAGAAAGGGACAATAGAGTTAGCTTTTAGATGAAGCTCCTATGAAGTCTTCTTTTGATGGTTCTATGGCTTCCAATTTCTTGGCTATCCTCCCCCCCCCCCACACCCCGTATAACAGCAATGTAGCACAAGGCACAATGATATCTCTTATGGGAACTGTGAAAACATAATATTTGGTTACAAATTATTAAACACACACACACACACACACACTCAAAAGTCATGAGATCACCCAACCTCATGAGCTTCAGGTAGTTATGAATTGCAATTAATGAGAATAGAGTAGAGTAGAGTAGAGGAACGTTGTCCATGGGGTCATGATGGGTCAGACACGACTTTGCACCTAACAACAACAACAAGAGTAGAGTAGAGTAGAGTGGAGTGGAGTGGAGTGGAGTGGAGTGGAATGGAGTAGAGTAGAGTAGAGTAGAGTAGAGTAGAGTAGAGTAGAGTAGAGTAGAGTAGAGTAGAGTAGAATAGAATAGAATAGAATAGAATAGAATAGAATAGAATAGAATAGAATAGAATAGAATATTCTTTATTGGACAGCTCTACTACAAACAAATAAAATCCAAGGAGATTAAACATAAGACAGTGCTGTGGGAATATGGTGTTTAGGTGAGGATGCAAAATCTGATACTATATGGTGATCCATTAATATTTCAATCATTTAAATTCATTTTCATCATCATTAGTGGATGTCTGTATTATCCCACTCAGTTTGCCCTGGGACTCTGAAGAGATAGCTAAGTTTTCTCTTCCTGGAAATTCCCAGCCAAGAAAATTTATCCCAAACAAGCTTGTTCAAGTTTGTTTAGCAGGGGTTTGCCAAAGGCAGAGAGAAAATGAGTGCCTAAAACAGATGCTGAAAAGACCTTTTTCACCCCGTACTTTCTTGTTTCTGGATAATTTTGGAAAATTCTTTCGCCTTTCAGCGATGTCCATCTTCTATGCTGTCAAGAATTTAGGACAATTCACATGAGAATTTTCATTTGGTTTCTGTGGTTCGCCACTTCCCTGCCTTCTTCTCCAGTCTGGGAACTGAAGTTTGGAGAAATACTGAAGATTCACAGTGTTGCTGCCTCACTGGAATTAAGACATTGGCTTAACACACAAATAGAAAGCGAGATTTCCTCCATCATATTTACTGAAAGGACCATAAATGACTGAGTTCATAGAACACATTAAACCACACAGAAGCACGTAAGTGTTCTGTGTAGCCAGGGAGAAAGAAGTCAGGTAAATTGGGATGATAAATGATGATTTCCTGCATTTAATTCCTCTGAGAGCTTGAAGTGAGGTACATGGGAAGGATTCATGCAATTTTGCCCTCAATGAAATCCCTATGAAGTGATAGTGATGGCGATGATGGAGAGGGAGGTGGGGAGAGGGAGAGAAAGAAAGAGAGAGGGATAAGGAGGGAGAGGGGAGAAGGAAAGAGGGAGGAAGAGGGAGGGAGGGAGAGAGAGAGAGAGAGAGAGAGAGAGATACAGAGAGAGCAACTAAGATGATCCAAGGCCTGGAGACTAAAATATATGAAGAATGGCTGTAGGACTTGGGTTTGCCTAATCTAAAGAAAAGAAGAAATAGGGGTGACATGATGGCAGTATTCCAGTATTTGAGGGGCTACCACAAAGAAGAGGGGGGTCATGTTATTCTCCAAAGCACCAGAGGGCAGGACAAGAAACAATGGTTGGAAACTAATCAAAGAGAGAAGCAATCTGGAATTAAGGAGAAAGTTCCTAACAGTGAGGACAATTAACCAGTGGAACAGCTTCCCTTCAGAAATAGTGGGTGCTCCGTCACTGGAGGTTTTTAAGAAGAGACTAGACATTCATCTGTCTGTGATGGTATAGGTTCTCCTGCCTGAGCAGGAGGCTGGACTAGAAACCTCCAAGGTTCCTTTCAGCTCTAATCTAGTCTAGTCTAGTCTAGTCTAATCTAGTCTAGTCTAGTCTAGTCTATTACAGAAACTCCCAAGGGTTTTAGATAGCCAGAGTGAGAATTCCACCTGTGTCTCTGGAGAGTGGCTAACACTCATATCAGTCAGTACTTGATTAGACACATCACTGCTCTTGAATGGGATTAAAGTAGTGATCAGCAAAAATAAAGGACTCCACCAGGGAAGCGAATTATGACCGCAGTATTTCCCAATTTTATATAAAGCATTTTCAGCAAATTCTTCTTTTTAGTTGCTTGCTCCTTTCAAAAAGGCATGGGTGTCTTCCAGGAGGCAACTCCTCCCAAAGTGGCTGATATGGCAACATCATGGAATAAGTCATCGATCATGAATGCTTTCCTCCATCAAGAAAACAAAAATTTTAAAAAAGAGAGAATGCTAATAAAAAAGCAGCCATTTTTATGTGATGATAGCCACTAAGTTAGAAAAAAATCATGGAGGATCTTTCTCTCACTGGCTATAAGCCTTGAGGGAATTACAAAGAGCAGAGTATAATGGATGAGGCCTGTATCCATCTTTGCTGTAGAACTCTTCCCACAACATGTTTAACTGGGACAATTAGGGGTTTAATATGTTGTGATTAACTGACCCAGTTAGCCAGTCCCCAAAGGATCACAGTTAACCCCAAACAGGCTCAGTCATGCAAGGTGAAACTAATTCCACCCACTCAGTTGTCAAATGGAACATTTAAATCCTACTCTACCAGGAAAAACAGCTGTAGAAGAAGAGTGGCTTGGAAAAGTAAACTTCTCCATTATCAAATTCGTTTTTAAGACTTTGCAGTACAGACTGTTCTCCCGGGTTCAGGCGAATTGCAGCAAAAAGACCATGCTATCGCTGTCAGGCTGATGTCATGAAACTTTTCCAATCTCCTGGTGGTGCAAAAGCTTATGAGACATTTGTTAGAGGAAACAGTCAGGGATGGACATTGTATTCCCAGAATGGAATTCCCAAAGGTGCTTTTTCAAGAGGCAACTGGATTTCTTTGTTTTTCCTTGAAGATGTTTCGCTTCTCATCCAAGAGAATTCTTTAATCTTTCATTATTCTTTGTTCATATTTAAACATCACATTAACTCAGAAGTTTGAACTTGTCACATATGAGGACCACTTCAGTAGCCAGAGGGTCACAACACCAAAGATTTTCATACTTTAGTTTGCCTTCATTTCGCTTGAAAGGCATCTGGACTTTCTTTGTTTGTCCTTGAAGACGTTTCGCTTCTCATCCAAGAAGCTTCTTCAGTTCTGAAGAAGTTTCTTGGGTGAGAAATGACATGTCTTCAAGCAAAAACAAAGAAAGTCCAGTTGTCTCTTGAAAAAGCACCTTTGGGACAACCATCACCTGGATGACGGAGAATCTTCATAGACTTCCAGAATGGAAGTTTTGACTTATCTTGATTGTGTATTGCCTGAATCACTGGTAAGGAGATCTTGCTGTGATAAGAATACAACAGTATTCTTGTGCAACAAAAGTACAGCAACATTAAACCAATTGCAATGCGTGATTGTCCCTGGGAAGGGGGTGAATGACGACAGATGACATCATGCAAACAGTTTACTTATATCAGACATCATGACCCAAGTACATAACTGTAATATTTGTGCACTGACTCAATGTCATCATGTCCTCCTCTTGATGTTATGATGACTTGGTACACATGCCTACACCACAATCTTGCAATCAATAGGCCTAGTTACAAAATTCAAACAGAACCCACAGAAGCAATTTCTGAAAGAAGAAATGTTTAAAAAATGCAACCTTTTTATTTACAATTGCAATCTTGATGGAAGTTAACCTCAATGTTCTTATTAGTTATTTTAGGTTTTTTTCAGAGATACACTTTGATCTGTTTGATATATTCCACTTATCCAGTTTGCTTGGTTTTGGTTTTTTCATGTGAAATCAGCTCTTGTGATTTACAACCTATGGTTGATGGCATATAAAAAAGCTGGTCATTGTAGTTAATTAAGTAAATTATGATTACACAAACCACGGTGACTATGATGTGCAAAGTCAGCTATTAACCACAGTTACATACTTCCAGTTTTCTCTTGAGAAAAATGCACATTTTTCCTGTTTTCTTCATTCTCCTTTTCTCTCCTTTTTCCTTAGCATGCGCTTCCTTGTGACTGAAAAAAAATATCTATTGTCTGTCTCTTGGAGTAGACCTGAAGTTTATTTGTCATAATCTGATGGCGCCTCAAATTGTTTTGATTAAATAAAAATATTTCTTTTTCCTCCAGAGCTGCGTGTTGAAAACAAGAGTTTCACTGATGGCTTGAATATAGTGAAAATCCTCCCATTTCATCCCAATTTAACTCATGCTAAGCCCGCCTGGTTTTTATAAGATAGGGTAAATCCCCCATCTTGCCCCCCCTCCTTCCCATCCATTCAAGGCCTCTGGACTATACATCCCATCAAGATCCCAATATGGTTTTCCAGTCCATAACCAAAGTCAATCCATCACTCGATTCCCAATGTTGACAAGGTCAAAGGTGGCGGGGAGGCTTGGCAGAGTTCCAAAACTATAAGACTCCTTTGAACAGCCAGTCAATCACATTCAATCAGTCAAGGAAAAAGTGGAAGGTTTCGTAGGCTTAGAAGCTTGGGAGTTTTCCTTCTACCATTTCACTACCCGCTGGGGGAGAATTAACACTGCTCTGAATTCTTCACTGATTCAATCATTTTTCTTCTAGTTCATTAATTCTCCTCTAGGTTGAGGCAGGGCATATTTTAACAGGAAGGAGTGGGGGGGGGAGGGAATGCAACAAAACAAGCCTAATGAAATAATAGACCAACTTGTCTCTTCTAGTAACGTCACAAAGCTTTCTCACTTTCACTCGCTACAGGGAATGGCCCAAGAGGGGCTTCTCCGTGCTTTTTTTTTTTTTTTTTTAAGAAAAAGGGAAAGGGGGAAAAAAAAGGGGGGGAAGACCTGGTGCCAGAATGGGGCTTGGAGAGAGAGTGGAGGCGATTATCCAATTTGAAGCTTAGCAGATCCAACGATTTGTAATTGCTTGAAAATACAGCCTGCAGACCGATGGCCGATGCCTCACTTAGCCAAACAAACGAAAATCAATTAGTGTCAGTTTCCCTTCTGCGCATTGTTATGTTTCGCACCGTTTGTTTAAGCGAGTGGCTGACACTTTTTCATACACATCTTGCTTGAGGGTCCCATTTCTGTTTAACTAAGATGTCATGTGGCTTGATTTGCTCAAAGATCAACTCCAGCCCAGCTGAGCTAAAAGTCTGACGTGCTTTGTCGCCTTTTGGCTCTTCCAAATGCAAGGAGTAAAGGGGTGGGTTAGGGTGGGAGAGAGAGAGAGAGAGAGAGAGAGAGAGAGAGAGAGAGAGAGAGAGAGAGAGAGAGAGAGAGAGAGAGAGAGAGAGAGAGAGAGAGAGGAAAAGTCAGGGGCAACCCAAGCTTCTTTGCAAAATAACTGTTGCAAATTCGGAGGCCATCGACTTGAACTGCGAGAAATGGCTCCTTGAGTGAGCAAGGTAACCCTCTAGCAAATGGAGTTTAGCCACGGCCAATGAGCCACATTCTTGCTGCCAAAGTGCAGGATTGGAGAAGATGGCAAAGTGAAAGGAGAGAAAGAACTGGGTCACTTGTGAATATATCTCCACCACTCCGGGGCAATTATGAACTTGTCACAGGGGGGGAACTGGGCCAGGGATGTGAGTTTCTTTGCTTAACTACCCCAGGGCCCAAAATTGAACTAGCAAGTCTGCAGAGAGGCTGTTGATTTTATTTGGCTGGATACAGGCACCACCTTATTCCAGCCCTTTCCTTACATTGCCCAACGTCACAGATATAAAAACAGGACTCAGATATAAATGCTGTGATTTTTCCTTCTTTTCACAATGCTGTGATTTTTTATAATTTCCGCAAGTCCTGGTGTAGGTGGATAACATGTCCCATTCCAAATTACTAAGACATATCTGTCCTTGTGCTACACTTTGCTCTGTTTTGCTCATTTTTCCTAGTTTAAATGAGAGGAGATTATGCTGATTTTAGGCAAGAACTGATAGGTCAGAGCAAGTGGAAAATCTGGGGGCTTCCACGTCACTGTCAAGTTTCACGGTGACATGGTAACATTTAAGTACTGAGATAGCAGTTCAAACAGACTTCACGTAGTCTGAGCAGCAAAAGAAACATTCCTCCTTACAAAACAGAAAAAGAAAATATCCTGCCTTGTCCATTTGTATGGCATGACCACAAAGGTGGATACAATTATGGTGGTAATACCAGGGGACGTAAAAATAACGAGCTTGTTATTCTAAGCCATAGTGGAGGTTGACTTTGGCTTAGTGCAGTTTGAGAGTCCAGCCACTTCAATTTGCAAATCATAATTTAGGGCCGCGCACCAACCATAAACATAGCCTATTCAACACATCGTGATTCATTAAGCCCTGGAATGTGTGAATTTAGACACTGTTTCTAAATCACGGCTTGTAGTTTAGCATCATGTGTAAACTAGGCTGCTACAGTTTGCTCAAGAAAGCCACAGCCTGGCCTGAGGAATGCACACAACTCTCCAAGTAATTTTTCTATGGTTTGCCGCAGGGCTCAGGAAAGAACAAGGGATTTGAGTGTAACATTCATTTCTCGTCTGATAAGGACGATCTCTAAATCAGCAGTCACTAACCTTTCCAGCTTGGCAGACTGGTGGGATCTGGGGAGGGGAGTGGGGACAATTCCATGTGAGTGGCAGGTGCATATGTGAGTGCAAGTGGAGCTTTGTGTGCAAGCGTGCTCACCCACTGCTTGCGTGGCCTGGTTCCAAATGGGCCGGGGGGGTTGGATACCCCTGCTCTAAAGGAATCCCCATGGCCCATTTCAGAATGTACACGATGTGAGATGAGACCAAGAGGGATTGACAGAGAGAAAGAGGAGAGAAAGGAGGATGTCTACTCAGACTCAGTGTAGAACCATAGAAACTGGGTCATTCGCTACCACATGACAGGAAAGTATAGCTGCAGTTTGCCAGTCTTGGCAGGCATAGAAAAGAATGTAGGTGAAGAAGGAATAGGTCCATATGGAAGGGACTACATTCCTAGTCCCACACAATGAGAACTAGGTCCAGGACTGGAGACCAAACAAGTGGTAAAGAACAGGAACTGAGTCAGCTGTGATGCTTGGGGCTAGGTAGTGCCTGCCTTTGGTCTGTCCTGTTCAAGCACCGTCAGTCTTTCCAGGTAAACCAGATAGGAAGCATGACTAGATGAATTAATTCTACTTGATTGTGAGGCTAATTAACAAAGTCTTGCAAGCTTCAAAGTACAAACTTCCCGCTGGCATTTTTAACAGCCTGGTCCATTAGGATGGGTTCTTCCTACGTTTTCTTCTCTCACTGTTAAGCCACTCCTGCCTTTCTTGTTTGATTGTCTCATGATCAGGAGGACTAATAAGGCACTCTTGATAAGAGAGAAGGAAAGAAATGTATTTAAATATGCTCTAGAAGGACATCCTTGGAACATGTTAGGGTATGCGGAAAAACAAGTATACATTTGGCATTTGGTAGGCCTTGGCAAGTGACTAGCCAAAAATAGTACATGAGGCCAGGCGAAAAACTCAATTCAATTTGATCTCATTGATCTTAAAAATGTTTTCAAATTAATCACAATTAAACTGATTGTTCTCCAGTTATATTGGTAAATAACTTTTTCCTTCCTGCCCCCTTGATAAAAATTACAACTTGGCACCACGTTTTGGAAGACTTTGGGAAAAACTTTATCCTGGAGGAAGCCAGATGTGTAAAAACCTAGGGGTGGAGGTTTATGATTAAAATTTATATCACCACACAAGTTCTTTTGCATTCTTTTGAAGGTAACGTATATTGGATGACTTCTTCTACCATCACCCTGAAGACCAATGAAGTAATCCTACCTTCTGAAGGATCAAGTCTCCTTGCTCTTCGCCCATGTTTTGAGTTGTTGTGAACAAACATATTGTCTGATACTGCCAGGACATGCCCGTCAACATTCACTGTTGTTGATAACACAACCTGGATGTTAAAAAAAAAAAAGCAGAAAAGAGAAAGGCAGATAAATTACAGCTCCACGATCCATGTTTCATTATCTAGCCAAGTTTAAGCTCACATTCTTGTTTTGTAAGAGTAAATCCAATCCTTATAAGGAGTTAACCTACTAAATAGGACAAAAAAATAGCTTTTCTGTCTTGATTACGATAGTACAACAATGTATACTTGCCTAAGATGAATCAAATGAATGATTTCAACAGCTGAATTGATTCAGTTTGGATTGGCATTGAAACATCCAAATAAATGTGATTTAATCTGGTTCATCAGTTCCCCAAAAAATGTGTGGGGACCATTTCTGTAAAAGTCCCACTTTATCACCAAATCAATTTGAACAGACCTGATTTAATTCAATATGCCAGACCAGTTTTAATACAAAGAGGTAACTTGATTTATCTTTAAACCAAATATTTGAGTTGAATCTTCATGTAAAACTACTAAGTCTCTACTAAACATCACCTCCTAAGGACATTAACAAGATTCTCATGCTTTGATGCAACAGACAGTGGGTAGCTCTTCCAAAGTTTCTTAGCAGACAATATCTCCAACTTTCTTTCAAAAAGCTGTAAATGGGTGGAAAGGGGAAATCCCAGTGTGAGGCAGCGGTAAAGATGCTAAAATAGGACCAGGCATACTCATATTCAGATCACCCTCAGCCTTCAAGAGCAGAACTGATGTTATGGGGAAAAAATAAGAGAAAAGGTTTCTATATCTGCCACCAGATATTGATGGTATATAAACATAACAAATGCATGACATCTCATGCGCATATAAAGCACATGCCAATCATTTTACCTCAAATGTTCAGATAACATGGTGATAAAAATGTTGGTCACCCTTTCTCTAGTCTCCAGTAATTTAAGTGACTCTTCCTGAAGCAAATTTACTGAATGTACTGTACATTATCTATGTCCTGTCTGAGATGATGCTTATGAAACTTTGGAACATTCCATAATGATAGTTATCCATCATCACCATTCAATCTTTAGAGATTGAACAAATCCATGCATTCTTCTTTGTCTTTCTCCTCCTCCTCCTCCTTAGTTGGATATGGTCATTTCTTTATTCAAAGTTGCTTCCATAATTGCCTTCTAAAAACAATGCAACTCAAAGGAAGAGGAATGGAAAGAGTAAAGGAAAACAGGTCCTTGTGATAGAAAGCCGTAATGGTTTGTGGATCTGATCATAACACTCTTCTGAAAGATGTACTACTTAAAGATAGAATGGAAACAGCTCAAAGACAGAAAGAAGCCAAGGCATTGATCTCACTTCTGTGCTAACATGGTGACTACATTTCCTGTCTTGCTGGGAAATATGCAGGGGGGGGGGAAATCTCCACAAAAGCTTTTTGCATACAGAAAAACTTATCAGGGCTAGAAAGTGGGAGACTGTGAGTTCTAGTTCCACCTTAGAAACAAAGCCAACTTGGTGCCTTGGGACCAATCACACTCTCTCCCACCATAGCAATAATAAGGCATTGGCAAACCATTTCCAATTCCCAAAATATTGGGAGGGAGGGAAGGAGGGAGGGAGGGAGGGAAGAAAGAAGGAAGGAAGGAAGGAAGGAAGGAAGGAAGGAAGGAAGGAAGGAAGGAAGGAAGGAAGGAAGGAAGGAAGGAAGGAAGGAAGGGAGTTTCCAAGTTGATGCCCATCATTACATGGTGCTGCAGTGAGTTCCACAGGCTAACTGCTTCCTTTTAACCTGTGTCTTCCATCATTCATCTCCCCTTAATCTGACCTGAATATCCTCTCATTCAGAAACACTGGTTGCTGCTAGATATCTAATTGAAGCATCTTGTGTGTAACTCAAAGAGACAAAAAAGAGGCACGAGGGAGCCAACACATGTGAAGGAAAAGAGATGGGCATTTAGGAAATATGAAATGTAAATAAATAAAACTTGTAGCATGCTTTGGCAACCTACGGATATCCTAGAAATCAAACGAAAGCTCCATTTCCAAGTTAAGCGTAGGCACGTCAAAACTGGAAAATCCAGGAAGTTGTACGGATAAAGAAAATGTTGGAAACATCCTCAGATTCAGGGAAGCAGAACTTGGACATTGTAGTTGTGGACTTCAGTTCATGTTTGTGACAGGGCGGGGGGGGGAGTAAGATTGAAGTCTAGGATTGAGTGACAAAGAGAAAAGAATAAGAACTTCACAAGGGGCAAGGAGGATTGCCTTAATCCTAGATATCCCATTGTAAAAGAGTCTTTAACAGCTGATAAATTATTTCCTTTCCTTTCTCCTCCCTTTTTTTTTGGAAAGGAGAGATCGGAAAACCATTTTTCCTTCCTAGACCATTTTTATGCTGACTGAACAGATGCGTGCTCTTTCCTGCTCGCTCTCTCTCCCCTCAATATGAGTTTAATTCATGCCAAAAGGCACTTGTCATACTTCACATTAAGGGTGCCTTTGCATTCCTGCCCCCAAACGTGTTGCTTTTGTGTGCCAAAAAGGTTTCGTCATTTGACAGTCTAGCTAGGTGGAGCTGGGAGGACGTTGTTCCAAAGTGAATATTTCCCCCATGACACGTGAGAACTCCAGCAGATGCAGTTCATTATTTTCCCTTAAACAATGGAAATAAATTTTAATCTCTTTCTGGCCAGCCCAGACCACACTACGGCAACAAGGGAATAAGGCTGAATTATTCCAGTGTCTGAAATATTTACGAGAGGATTTTAAATTGTAACCAAATGTAAACCGAAGAGTGGGCTGTTGCACCTTCGTATAATAGACACAAATCTAACCGCAAACAGACAAAACACTGTATTCTAAACATCCACGGGGACAGAGATAAATAGCCAATCACGTAACATGTTAATATATTTTGCGTCCAGATTAAAAATGTACACACCGTAAAGTTTAATTCATAAGAAGCAGAGGAAGAGGGCATTCAGAAATTTCAATGATTTGGCATCAAGGAAGATGGAATGGGAGGCATGTTTCATATCTTATTATATTAGGTAGAATTTAGTTTCCAGTGTGGAAGATAGGTTTAATAGATGCCCTAATTCTTCTGGTTCTATTAATGAAGGATCTCCTTCCCCAGTCTGGAAGTAATGTTTAATCCAGAATGTAGCACTGTAAATATGTATTTATTAAACAATTTATTATGGCTGCCCAATTCACACATGGTGACTCTGATGTAGGCAGGGCTACTATCAGGGCTAAACCCAGTCAAGAGACAGTAAGATCCAGTCGGGTTCAATCCTTTATTTGGTGTTCCTAATGAACAGAATCTTGCCAAACTAAAGTCATAACTTTCTAACCTACTAAATATATCCTGAGAGATGCTATCCTGCTTTCTCGCCTCCATCATCCTGTTCTGGACTGCTCAATCTCTTCATCTGGACCTGTTTCTGGGAAGACTCTGAGTTGGCAAAATGCTTCTCCTCCTGTTAGGTGGAGGAAATATGGAGCCAGGATAAGTTCAAAAGCACTGTGTAAATGAAGATTCAATCATCCAAGCCAAAAGTATCTAAAAAGGTTAAATATTAACGACTGCACCAAAGTTTATAACAAACTTTGGTCCAGTTGTCCTGATTTAATCTTTTTAGATATTCAAAAGTACCGCAAGTTTATTCCAGGCAACCTATACAAAGAATCTGATCTACCAACGGTCACGGCAAATGGGTGCCAGATAAGAGTCAACAGACTTTGAATGGGGAGGGGCTGGGCTTAGGTCTCTTTTGGGGGCATACGGACTCCAGACTGATGATGCATTTGACCCTGTCCTTGGGCTCAGCCTGGTCATCTCCTACATCTCCTCTGCTGCTGCAGGTTCACATTCCATTACAACTACTCAGGATCTGTTGTTCGATGGCTGCTCCAGTTATTAATTTTGCTGCTGCACACAGTTCAAAATATTGATGATGATATTTAAATCCTGAAGAATGTAGGCTGCAGATACTTTGGCAATGGCCTTCTAAGTCAGGCTGCTCCTACTTTTAAGACTTGGTGAGCATTCGCTGCTCTGTGTCTCACGAATGGTGGAGGAAAAACCTTGATTGTCTGCATGGCGATAATCCATGCCTTGATGGATCATCTGGGATGGCTTTTTGCCATCATCTATCACTGGCTTTTTGCCAGTGGTACAGATCAGTGTTGTGCAAAATATTTTGAGGTTTTTGGCGGAAAGAAGACAGCTCCTAGCAATGGTCTGAACAATGTTCATGAACTATGCATTTGATATTAGGCCAAGAACCACAAATTGCTCACCTTTGGATTAAGTGCCATCGATCTCTGAATGTTGGATGTTAAGGAATTTGCCACTAATTATGGCTACAGCATAACTTATTCCCCGAACTCCAGATACTTTAGGCTGGGAATTTTTGGAAAGGGGATGTTAGAAGAATCTTCAACCTGATTTAGCTAGGCAGTTCTGTTTGTAAAGGACCTGGCTTTTTATCTTTTTTCACTATGGTGCATTGTGTCTATACTTTCTCCACACCATAATGAGAGGTATCTTAATCTTGTGAATTGCAATGGCTATTTAATCCATGCACATTCCTACTGAATCATTTGCTAAACAGAAATCATTACTGAACAGATATTATATATTGAATAATTGAAAGTGCATAGTTGTGTGTCTGTATGTGTGTGTTTAGAGGAAGCAGACATTCTTCCATAGTCTCCAGCTCCCAAGACCTCCCCTTTCACCAGGCAACAGCTTTCCCCCAGTGAGTATTTCCTGGGTCATGGAGGGTGACCCTTTCCATCTGGAATCAATCAGTCAACTCCTGACAACTTCCTGAAACACCTCATTCCATTTCCTGTTCTCTCCCCTCTTCTCATCACCCGCCCCCCAGTTCGCCTCACTCTTCGAAACTATAGGCCACAGCAGCTTAATGTTAGAGGGTCAGACACAGTTAGACTCCAAAACACTACACAAGGAAACCTTTGACCTTCAGAAATCTTTACATCTTAGCTAAACAAATCAAGGTCAATATTTCTTACCATTACCTTGT